AAGCTTTTTTAGAAACTCTCTCCTTGAAATGAAACAGTAGTTATTAATGATAACATTCATATATAAACAAAATATTGTATGCTTGTAATTCTAAGAGTTCATTAATAAGCCAAGTACAAAAATTATCAAAATGAAACTAAAGAAATTAAGATAAACATTAAGATATGTTAACTTGTATGGGAAAATCATATGAATCTACCATAAGAGTTTATGTTAGGCATTACTATAGACGTTTACAAAACTAACAGGACTAATGACCCTAGGAAGGCGACCAGTACAGAGCCAGGTCATGTCCATACAGAGTGACCATTTGCTCACTCAGGTAACTCATTTGTACAAATACATTAAATATCTAATACCAATCTCCTAGACTTTTAATGAACTGTTCCAAGTTCACAGCTGAGCAAATCCATTTCATAAATTTACAAGGTGAAAGGTCACATATAGACTAAAGATAGGTTGAATATATTTTGGTTTCTTAACTCAATGTACATGTATATGGAGAGATACTAGAAATGTGTTTGTGGAAGATTTTATCTATCCCTGACTAACAGTAGACTTCTTCATGATAAATAATTAATAAAGAGTGAAAACAATGAAAAATTTTGAGAAATTGCTACCCGTTGTTTCTTTGAGTTAGAAATTTGTCCACGCATTGCTTTGTACTCACTTCAACAAAGACTTATAATACCAAGCTTATAGCTCTGTTGTTTCATGGACTGATTCGACACTGTGCCTTTTTTTCTACGCAATCAAACCAAAATAAATTCTGTATAAAGTGAATTAAAGTTTCCCACACCAGAATATATTTGGAAAGTGCTGATACTAGCCGATTAATGGCGTTAAACCTGTGTAACAGTTCAGTACCATATATGACAAAAACACATTTTCCGGCGTTACCACGGAGCACTATTCACGTACATCGGTGTTACCTCATAAAGACGTCTTGAATCTTATTTCAATTTTTTTATCACCAGAGAAGTTTAGTAAACGTCACTTACCTACCGAAAATCTAAATTATACGGAATAATATGCAGTGTTGTACTTTTAAGAGTGGACAAAAAGCCAAAATCTCGCTCAAAACGGTAGTCAAGTCATCATTTTCACGAATGATCTTGAAAAGTAAACAATTTCGTGGAAATAATGTTGATGAGGGATAAAGAGTAATGTCTTTGCAGCCGTATGCAGCTATACATTGTTTACAGTTTGGTTAAATAAAAAATATATTGGCCAGTTTACTTACCGCGTTGGAAATCCTGTCAGGAAGCCGCCATTTATTGCACAATTATGCGTTACTTATTGCACGAATTGTGCGTTATTTTCACATTCTGGCGTTACTGGATATACATTATTGAACAATGAAGGAAAAACATATTTCGGGAATATTTCTTTTCATAAATTTAGACATGAATGTGTTATTATTTCGTATTGCCCGTGGTCGACCGGTTTAAGGTCGTTGACTTTCATACACATGGTCCTCACAGCTTTGGATTCGAATTTTGCAAATGATTTGATTCTTTAATGTGTGGCAGCATTCCGTGGAACGTCTGTAGGTGGTTCTATTCAGGTATCCGTTTGTACCTAGGGAAGGCTTCCTTTAAAAGTAAAGCTGGAAAGTCAACATTATGACATTGAATTAAAAACCAACCGAAAAGAAGGGAGTTTAAGAGAAGAGAAGATTTTGTGCACTTTCAACGAGAAGGCACCATTTTCAATGTAACATTGCTCACCCTGCGCACCCTCTTACCTTAATTATGGATCCTTCCTTGGTTGGCACTGTCAAGAAATAATCAATTTCTATTTATAGATATGTTATGTTTGTTTCAGTAGTCCGCGCAAATTCACCAGTGATGGCACATTTTAAATTGTTTTTCGTTATTTTCTTTTTCTGCTATTATTTAATACCAGTGGTAACCACGGTAAGATTTTTATTTATTGAAATGTGATTCATTCTACTTTAAATTCTTTCAAAAGTGTCTTTACACTCATTTATTTTTCTGCCGGAAGTGATAGCAGACGACAATTTATTTTTTTTCAGTTTTAGTAAATTATTCAATATATTGCAATTGATTTCATTATGCTATTATACTGCAATACCATATTTACAGAGTCGTAAAATAGGCACGTGTGTGTGATAAATAGACATTAAAATATTACCTTTGAAATAAATTTGATTACTTATTCATAGAATAAACATGCATTTATTGTTGTTAAAAATGTGTCTGACAGATTGACAACCAATGAACAAAGAAAAAAACTAAATTAAGCATTTTCGGGGCCGTCCGGGTTTGGTGGTTGTCCGGTTTTGGTGGTCCCCAACCAGTATAGAGGATATTCAAGTTTTTTTCTCTATATATACAGGATTTATGTTCATTGAGTGGTATGAAAATAAATATTTGATTATATTTCATGACTGACGGTAGCCACGAGTGAAATATGATAATTTTCATACCACAAGATGAAAAAAATCCTGTTAATATAGAAAAAAAACTTGAATTTTCTATTTTTCATATACTGATTTTTATTTTTTACATTACAATTTAAAGACTTACCCTTAAAATTGATGTATTAGATGAATTTAAAAGAAAGTGAAAATACGGAAAATGTGTTTCACTGCATTCACATGTTTACGGTGAAAATACTGAAAATGAAAATGGGTGTGTGGGTAACAGTAACAATATCATCCCGAGGAAAAAACTGTTACCCGAGGCGTAACGTCTATTATTACATGCTTTTTGGTGGTTTATAGAAATAAATCAGTGATATAAAACTGGTAATTTCTCTGTTTGAAACAGTTAAATTACCATTTTGATAATTTCACTGTTTTGAATTTAAGCCCCTTATGTTGTTTCAGTGAAATACCAGCGTGCACAGTACTGGGTACCAACTTAACGACGTGACGTCGTAAATGACGTCACGTTGTATTATTATTTGGCGCGCTTTTCATTCAGTATTAGGTTAAATGTCTTTTTAAAACGTTTCTTTGCATGTTATAAAAAGAAAATTTGTTTAGTTTAGTCTAAGATTGAAATATATTTCACCATGTGAACACCAAAAGTTCACATTTCACTCGTGGCTGCGCCACTCGTGAAATATTTCTTTTGGTGCTCACTCGGTGAAATATATTCGGATCTTACACTGAACTAAACAAATATCCTCTTTTTATTATTGTTATAGACATTATTATTATTATTATTATTATTATTATTATTATTATTATTATTATTATTATAGACGTTGAAATTTGATTTTTTTTTTTCAAAACGGCTTATATTAAGTTTTTAAATATATATGATCAATACATGTGCTGGGATTGACAAATATACATTTTATTTAGATTTTAAAGGTGTTTTAAGCTCCACACCCCAAGTGTCTGTGGTCCACTCCGACCCCTCTAAATTCAGAGGGTCCAGACCAGAATAAATAATAGTTTTGTATCAAAAATTAAATGACCAAATATGTGACTGACTTATACAATCTTATTTGACCTGCATGTAAAGTATTTTTTATATCAGTTTTTGGGTGTTTTTTTTCTTCAAACAAGTCAGTATGTCAACTGTATATTAGGTTTGACTATTAGATTAACAACATTACACAAAATAGATCAGACTGCTGCGGCATTAACTTTAAAGTCCCAAAACTGTTACTTTCCCCACCTTCCTGTCCCCACCATTCCCAGGAATTTGAAACATTTTTCCATGATTCCCAAACTATGGTGTCGCAGATATTCATTTGTTATGTGCATAATACGGATACCATATGCCATTTTGAAGTTATACATGTACATTATCAAACACATTTCGTATGTTTTGATTGCATTAATGAAGAAGTAAAATGAGCCGCGTCACGAAAAAAAACAACATAATGGGTTTGCGACCAGCATAGATCCAGACCAGCCTGCGCGTCCGCGCAGTCTGACCAGGATCCATGCTGCTACTTGTAAAAGAGTTGGTAAGCGAACAGCATGGATCCTGATCAGACTGCGCGGATGCGCAGGCTGGTCTGGATCCATGCTGGTCGCAAACGCATTATGTTGGTTTTGTCGTGACGCGGCTCAAATGTTTTTATTTTCAAGCATACGATGTATGGAAAAAAAACTTTTGTTTATGAACTTCTGCAATTATTAATACAGGGTTAAAGTGACATTATGCTCATATTTTCATTGTCAAGTTGCGCTGAATTGACTTTATATTTTAAAGGATTGACTGTATAAATGATGTTTGACCAATATATTATATTGGAAAATGTTTAGGATAAAATTTAATATCTGCCTAAAATATAGAAAGACTGTCCAACTCTTTTAAATTGAACGTTACAGGTAAATAATAAATGATATTTACTAAAATTTCGTTTGAATCCGGTGGTTATTTATTGTTTATGCAAGTAAATTATTAAAACAAAAGAATTATGGCGAAATGAAAATTAATTTTGACTCTTACCTGTTCACTCACTGTATACCTTTAGATGGGCATAATGTCACTTTTATTTAAGAAATAATATATCTCAAACTGTGATTTTATCGCTCAATAACATCACTGTTTGGAGTTCGGATGTGAGGAATTATATCACGAGGGCGTAGCCCGAGTGATATAATGATGCGCATCCGAACGACAAACAGTGATGTTATCCAGCGATAAAATCACCGATTTGGATATATTATTTCGATTCTAACACGACATCAACAAATAAATGCTACCGTACCTGATATTAAGCAAAATTGCGCCTGATTTGTGACCGTACTTATTGTCAGCGCGTCGGATTTTATAGTGGTTACGTCACATGTAAAACGATTACGTCACATGTCTAAATATAGAACGTCAAACAGTGACTTTATAGCATAATAACACACACTTTCGGTTCTTCTATGTTCAATAGAGAAAAATGCGGGTCGTGTTAGAATATGCATTATTAAAGTTAAACATAGCATCTAAATATAGTGTTACATAACCATTTCTTATTTGCGGTATGCATTTCCTGATTGCAAAATTGATGTTAGCAAACACATTGTCACTGATTAACACTTTTTTCTACTCTATTTTCAGAACTTCAAGGCGACCTGATTAAATTTTACAGAAAAAGGTGTAGTTCAATACCTCTCTCACCGCTTCTTGAAGAAATAGAGACACCTCTAGCTGGGTTCTACGTGATGCCAGATATAGTCGCCGTGAAACAGAAGTCTCCAAACTCCAATGAAGAGGAACGAACGCCGATCAAGTCTTTGAAAGACCTGTTTTCAACCGGAAGTCGAGATCAGCAAGAAATTTATCTATCAGCTGATGCAGGCTTTGGAAAAACTGCTTTCTCAAAGTATCTTGCAGTCACGTGGTGTCAAGCTCATTGTCACAATGAAAACTACGCCTGCTTTAAAGACGACGAGTTAAAAACGTTATTTGACTTTGAGTTCTTATTTTTGGTTTTATTAAGAGACTGTACCTCTGTTTGCAACATTGACGCTATGATTGAACAGCAAATTACGAGGAAACTTCCTACTTCTGCAATACAAGATGAAGTTTTACGTAGAGAAAAATGCTTGATTATTTTGGACGGTCTTGATGAATGGACACACCCTGATAATAGCTGTAGCGAAGTAACAGAAAAAATCCCACATCGGTACGTACGTGATAATTGTGTTATTCTAACGACAACTCGACCGTGGAAGCTTGGAGTCGCAAATCTCAAAACAAGTCAAATAAACAAAAAAGTAGAATTGGTTCAATTAAGTGCAGATTCTACGCGGCAACTTGAAGAAAATGCTATAAGAAAAATGACCGGTGTCCGTGACGATAGAGTACTGGAGAGTAAAATATGGGACTTTAATGAAGTGATACGTGACCGTCGCCTAGAGCACATGCAAGTGATTCCACTCCTCCTCATGTATATAGTTTGCCTGTGGTGCAACAACATTCCTATAGGAAATTCAAAACATGAAATTTACACCAATATCATTGAATTTCTATTATCGAGAACGTCAAAGAAACACCCGGAAGTTCAACCATCTCGTGAATCGTCTGCCAGTGAAATTCCAGAATACTTCAAAAGTCATGAATTTTGTAAAAAGTTTTACAGTCTTATAACATCATTAGCAGAACTAGCTTACCAAACATTATTTAACAAAAACAGAGAAAATACGCTTTTATTTGATAGAATGGTTGCTAATATATATCTCAAAGCAGACGACATGAAATTAAGTCTTTTCTCAGGAATACTGACAGAAAGTAGAAGTAAAACTTTAATTAAAGAAATTATTAAAGTGTCGTTTTCTCACAAAACAGTGCAAGAATACTTTGCCGCCATATTTATAAGTTCTCAAAGTGACGCTCAGAAAACTGTTGTAGAAAAATGTAGAACTGTTCAAGATATTCTGGACATGTCAAAAATTTGTGAATTTATAAGTGGAATGAATGCTGACTGGATGTGTGAAATATTAAATGATTTGATGTCTGTGATAAATGAAGACGAGGAAACACGCGACTATAGAACTAGGACACGTTACGAGGACATATACAATACTCCATTGTATAACATACAGAAAATGTTCATGTCGTGTTTACAAGAATTGCCTGAAAGTGAAAATATTCAATTATGTTTACAAGATTTCTTCATTGTCCGGCACACCGAGGTGCACAGTAAGCTGTTACAACGTTTATTAAAACAAAATAAAACCAACATAAAATCACTTTATATATACACCAGGAGTTTACGTGAAATTATAGATTTATTCTCTCTCACAGATCTCAGTCATATACAGAAACTTTTCTATCATGGTGACTGGAAGGAGGATGAGATAAGCCGGATATTGTTTCCCAGTTTACAGTGCGTTACTTTGCGGCAGGGTACATGGATAAATGATGAAGAAAATCTCAGTGAAAATTTAGCGCGAGTACAAAACTTACAATATTTATATATTAAACACTTCACGTTATCTCACAAAATACTGGAAACATTTTACAATTTTATCTCCGCTCAAAAATCAATGAAAGAGTTAACATTGTGGCAGTTAGACTGTAAAGAACATGGCCGCCGCCGTGATTGTAAGAGATGGAACTTGGACTTGTCTCAACATTCAACTCTATCAAAGTTATACTTGCAGGAGTTACCTGGGAGACTACAATTAAATATAACAACACCGTCATTAGTTGATGTTACGTTGTGGAACATCAATCTAGATGATGAAAGTTCATTGTTACTGTCACGTGACATGTTGAATATTGAACGTGTGGAGTTGTGGGAGATAGAAATGTCTGCAGAAAGTTTACAGAACTTTATTTCCGTGCTGGAAAATCTGCCGCAGTCAGTTACAGTAGAGATGGACGCCATTACACCGGAAAAAGAACATGACCGTGTTAGAGAAAATATTCGGAGTTCACAAACTTTTCATGTGATACAAGACAGGTGGGGGATTGAGTTCATAACAATAAAACCAAGTAAAGAATAAACAAAGGAAAAACATTGTAAAATAAACTAATGAAATGACTTCAATGATTTTAATAAATAAAAACAATTTAAATATGGACACTTAGAAACAAAATGGCGACTCATCAAACTTTTATTAGGACAATCATGTACTTCCGTTTTCAATTAATAATTTAAGTGACAATTGTTTATAAATAAAAATATTTAATAATAGAAATATTTCAAGGAAGTTTTCACGGAATTTCAATGGATTAGGATATGAAAATATTTAGCAGGTGAGTGATTTTATATTGAATGTTTTTTATTACCTTTATATATTTTTTTGTATTTTTATATACATGCATATGTAAGAACTGAAATAGATTATAAACAGTGAACAATACTCTTATTAACTTTTACTTGAAAATATATTTGATGTAAATAAATTAAATTTTTAATTAATATTTACCATGAATTTTTTATTCCCAAAATATATATTTTTTAATCAAAATAAAGTATTTTTAAACATAGTCCATGTAATTGTATGTACACATACAGTAGGTGGACACAGGTTATTAATTAACTCTCTATTTTCTTCTATACATTTTATTAATTTAAAAAATAAGATTGTTTTTCTTTTCTTATTTTCGGAAATATTCTCGTTAGATTTTTATTTTTAGTAACAATTTAATTGCCAGACTCTTTAAATCATTAATTAATTTTAAAAGTGTCTCCTTTAAATGTTGACCTGTCAACTTGTTTCCTTTAAACCATATAGTAGCCCTAGGGTCTAAACTGACTCAGTCTGGTGGGGGGGGCATAATTTTTTTTATTATTATTAAAGTCATCTTTTCTAAATCAATCATTACTAAAGCTAAGGTATTTTGCATTAAACATTGTCTAGTTTACCTGTACCAAGTTTGTTTAAATTAAAGTCCTTGGGTCAATATTTGCCCAACAGGGGGGGGGGAAGGGCGGGGTCTTAGATTTTCCTTAAATGTATATGGGTAACATTTTAGATATTCTTCCCTTATATAATGAAGGTTAAATCTTAGATATTTGTCAAATCACATACTCTTGTGGAAATCAATCAAGTTTGTTAAATTTTAGCTGTTGGATTTAAATAAAAGGATGTCATGGATTTTTGATAAACACATAAAACTTTAAAAATCATTTGAATTCACAACAAGGGCCTAAAACTTTGATGTTTTGCATGAAACATTATTTCGTGTTCCTCCAACTACATAGTAATGGTATATAGGAAATAAAAAATTCATTTTTTTTCTTACACTCAACCCAAAATAGTTTTTTTGATGTATGTTTTTCAGCTCACCTGTCACAAAGTGACAGGGTGAGCTTTTGTGATCGCTTTTCGTCCGGCGTCCGTCCGTCGTCCGTCCTTCGTCCGTCCGTAAACTTTTCTTTTAAATGACATTTCCTCATAAACCACTGAGCTAATTTCATCCAAACTTCACAGGAATGTTCCTTTGGTGGTCACCTTTAAAAATTGTTCAAAGAATTTAATTCCATGCAGAACACTGGTTGCCATGGCAACCGAAAGAAAAATCTTTAAATATCTTCTTTTAAACAACCCTAAGAGCTAGAGCTTAGATATTTGGCATGAAACATCTTCTAATGAGTGTCTACCAAGTTTGTTCAAATAAAAGCCCTGGGGTCAAAATTGGCCCCGCCCCGGGGGGTCATTGTTTTTCCCTATATGCATATAGTAAAACCTTAAAAAATCTTCTTTTAAAGAACCCAAAGAGCTAGAGCTAAGATATTTGGCATGAAACATCTTCTAGTGAGTGTCTACCAAGTTTGTTCAAATAAAAGCCCTGGGGTCAAAATTGGCCCTGCCCCAGGGGGTCATAGATTTTCCCTATATGCTTATAGTAAAAACTTAAAAATCTTCTTTTAAAGAACTGTAAGAGCTAGAGCTTAGATATTTGGCATGAAACATCTTTCAGTGAATGTATACCAAGTTTGTTCAAATAAAAGCCCTGGGGTCAAAATTGGCCCCGCCCCAGGGGGTCATTGATTTTCCCTATATGCATATAGTAAAAACTTAAAAATCTTCTTTTAAAGAACCCAAAGAGCTAGAGCTAAGATATTTGGCATGAAACATGTTCTAGTGAGTGTCTACCAAGTTTGTTCAAATAAAAGCCCTGGGGTCAAAATTGGCCCCGCCCCGGTGGGTCATTGATTTTCCCTATATGCATATAGTAAAAACTTAAAAAATCTTCTTTTAAAGAACCGTAAGAGCTAGAGCTTAGATATTTGGCATGAAACATCTTCTAGTAAATGTCTACCAAGTTTGTTCAAATAAAAGTCCTGGGGTCAAAATTGGCCCCGCCCCAGGGGTCATTGATTTTCCCTATATGCATATAGTAAAAACTTAAAAAATCTTCTTTTAAAGAACCCAAAGAGCTAGAGCTAAGATATTTGGCATGAAACATCTTCTAGTGAGTGTCTACCAAGTTTGTTCAAATAAAAGCCCTGGGGTCAAAATTGGCCCCGCCCCAGTGGGTCATTAATTTTCCCTATATGCATATAGTAAAAATTTAAAAAATCTTCTTTTAAAGAACCGTAAGAGCTAGAGCTTAGATATTTGGCATGAAACATCTTCTAGTGAATGTCTACCAAGTTTGTTCAAATAAAAGTCCTGGGGTCAAAATTGGCCCCGCCCCAGGGGGTCATTGATTTTCCCTAAATGCATATAGTAAAAACTTAAAAAATCTTTATTTTAAAGAACCCAAAGAGCTAGAGCTAAGATATTTAGCATGAAACATGTTCTAATGGGTGTCTACCAAGTATGTTCAAATAAAAGCCCTGGGGTCAAAACTGGCCCCGCCCCGGGGGTCATTGATTTTCCTTATATGTGTATAGCAAAAACTTTAAAATCTTCTTTGAAAAAACCCAAATAGCTAGAGTTTAGATATTAAGCATGAAACATCTTTAAGTAAATATCTACAAAGTTTGTTCAAATAAAAGCCTGGGGATCAAAACTGGCCCTGCCCCAGGGGTGTCATTGTTTTTAACTATATGTGTATAGTAAAAACTTAAAAAAATCTTCTTTTAAAAAACCCAATGAGCTAGAACTTAGATGTTTAGCATGAAACATCTTCTTATGGGTGTTTACCAAGTCTGTTCAAATAAACAAATAAAACTCTTGGGTAACAAGCAATTATCATAGTATTGCAAGCAATCCATAAGTCCCCTACCGGTTAGAACCCCAGCAACATTCTGATTTCAATTTTACCAGTGAATGAATGACATGAATGAACTTAAATCTTTTGAGTTCTAAGTTTGTCTATTTCACAGTAATGTGTTAAGTTTCCCTGCCTAGTAAGGCAATTATGTTTATACAACCTTGTCATATTATTACGATGTGGGATTTTAAAGTAAATCTTATAAGGAATGAAGAAGTTGGAGTAAAAAATACCAATTTCTCGAAAAAAATCTAAGTTCAAGGGGGACATAATTCTGGAAATAGTCTTGCTAGAGTATTTAACCTTCTCAAAAATGTTGAGTGATAATAAGAAACATATATATGAAGTCTGAAGTAGATATATTAGGAAATAAAGAAATTATTTTAAAAAGACAACATTTTTTTTCCATAAAAATTCTAAGTTCAAGGGAGGTAATACTGATAATTTTTGTGCTAGAGTTATAAACCTTGCCACATATGATGTGGTTGATGACCAGAAACTTATATTTAAAGTTTGAAGTAAACACCTTAAGAAGTAAAGAACTTTTAGTGAAAAAACTGAAAAAATTAAATCAGAAATCTTGAAATCCAGGCTATTTGTTGCCATAGCAACCAGAATTTTCAACATAGGAAGAAAAGAAAAAGATGTGCATAATCTGCAGACTGCCATCTACCCATATTTTATGTTTCATAAAAATATTTTCAGTACTTTTTGAGTTATCACTGGATCCAGTTTATGTGTTAAATTTGCCATATTTTCAGACTATTTGTTGCCATAGCAACCAGAATTTTCAACATAGGAAGAAAAGAAAAAGACGTGCATAATCTCCATACTGTAATCTATATATATATCAAGTTTCATAAAAATATTTTCAGTACTTTTTGCGTTATCGCGGGATCCAGTTTTGTGGACGGACTGACTGACAGACAGGCAGACGGACAGACAGACAGACGGACGGAGGGTAAACCTAAAGTCCCCTCCGGTTAAACCGGTAGGGGACTAAAAATTGGCCCATGGGGGGGCTATATACAGGTGAGCGACCTCAGGGCCATCATGGCCCTCTTGTTTTTTGTTCTTTTTTTTATTTAACTTCATTTTTTATATGGGTACCAAGACTGGACGAGCACCTGTGGACTACATTAGAATAAAACATTGTTCTGCAAAATTTCCCCATTAATAAAATACATGTATGCGTTAATCTTGTGTCTTATTTCTCGTTTCAGCGGCCTTTAAAGATCAAAATCTTTGTGATGCAGAATTAGGATTTGTGAAGTTTTAGATTATTTCGAGCAACAAAAATACCATGTTCCTTTGTTTACAAGGTAAGCCTTAAATAATCTTTATGATTGACAGATCAATTAAATCAAATAAAGATAGTAAAATAAAATATCGAAAACAGCTTCCATGCAAAAGACATTTGCTTTATTCAACCAATTTAATTTATGAATGAACGATAACTAATTTAATTTATGAATGAACGATTTTTAGAGAAATTGTTGAAAAAATATTTCATTTTACGCCAAGTTTTGTAAACCAAGTTTCATTACCATCTGAGTTTAATACATCTTAAGCATAGTTTGGTACTAGTTATCTTATGAATGGTCTGTGGTTCTACTTGGATATCAGCTTAGGCCAAATAGTTAAATTCACTTAGCTGACAACAGGCCGTGGTTCTACTCAGATGTCCGCTATTATGCACAAATGGCTTACAGCAGGCCCGAGGTTTATACTGTGATGTCATCGCATGCCTATATTTTTACTCAGTTGGCCGCCTGTACTCGGATATCAGCTAGTGCCTCTTAAACAGATATCAGCTTATGTCAAATAGTTAAATTTATATGACTGGAAAAGGCAGTGTTTCCACATAGATGTCAGCTCTTGCCTAGATGATAAAATTCAGTTGGCTTACAGAGGTTTTTGGTTCTACTCGGATACCAGCTTATGCTTAAAAAATCAATTCAGCTGGCTTGGGGAAGGTGTTATTTTCAATTCAGTTCCTTCACGGAATGCCAGAGGTTCCCCTCTGAAATTGTCAGATCATGCCTATATTATTCCATTATGATTAAGTTGGCTTACTCTACTCTGATATCAGCTCGTGGCTTAATAATTCAATTCAGTTTGCTTACAGATGGTCCGTAGTTCTACTTGTATTCCAGCTAATATGCTTAAATAATTCATTTCAGCTGGCCGGCAGGATATGTATTATTCAATTCCATTTGCTTACAGAAGGTCTGTGGTTCTACTCACATGTCAGGTCGTGGAGATATAATGATCCATATTAAGGGCAATTTCAATATATTCTCTCCATATTTCTATCACTTAATGGCAACTATTTTTTACAAATGAAGGAGACTTATAGGCGATTGGGCGAGTTGTATTATATAGAGGATATTGAATGAGTGTAAGTTCAATACTGAATTTATTGCACGAGTTGAATAAAATTATATTATGCGAGCCTCTTGCAGGCATAATATTATGTAATTCAACGAGTGCAATAAATTCAGTAATGAACTTACTCGAATTTAATATTCTATTTATCACATACCCAAGATAAAGACCGTTTAAAATGAAATAAGAGTCATCTTCCATTGAACGCCTATAGTATAACGCTAACATTTAGCGCGTCTTTACGCTATGTTTGTATAACGCTAATGACGTCACGTCAAAATTTATGCACGACCGTGCAATACCATATTTACGGAGTCGCAAAATCGGCACGGGTGTGTGATAATAAGAGGATATTTTTTCGTTTGCGTGAAATATGGAATATATTTTCACGAAACATGATAAAATGCCACATATTTTCACGAGCCGGTACGGCGAGTGAAAATATGTGGCATTTTATCATGTTGAGTGAAAATATATACCATATTTCACGAAAAACGAAAAAATAACCTTTTTATTTAATTTCATTATCAAAGAAAATGGTAACGAATCCCACTGCAATTGTACAGCGCGTAGTAATTTATGCGTAAGCACGCGCTGTTTGGCGCTACGCTGTGACGTCATGTAAACAACTCTTTAAACGTCTGTACAGCATTAATTACTGAAATAAAGATATTGGTGTTCGGATTAATTTTCTTAGTTAGACCATTTTCTATCATGCTAGATAGTTTTCAAAACAATATTCAAGAAAAAGTTGTTTTGTATTAATCAGATTTTTCAAACAAAACGGCGAAAGAAGTCCCTTAAAATAAATATGAGTTTTGACTCCGCCCACTTTCATATTTATATTTCATATTTATTTTTAAAAAATATGAAATATATTTGACTGATATAGCACCATATTTCATGGGTAAAATTAAATAAATATGTTATATTGATTAACAAAAAAAAATAGTCACACATGCCACTATAATATTAATAAATAGAGTTTACATAAAATTAATTAAAAAATAAATTAGTTACTTACACGTATGGAATTTTATGATTTGCATTAACTTAGGTTCACCTTTAATGTGTATGAATCATAAAACACATAGATATATATTATTATACTTAATAAATCCTGTAATCTACACTGTTACACTTTTTTATATTTTGATTTTTTCATTTATTCTTTATACTTTTTTTCAGATAATCAGCTCGAGTAAATCTACAGTGACAATGATGATTATGCTTCTACTAGAGTTCAATATGAATACTTAACACCTGGTTCCTGGCTTTACAAAAAAATATCCAAAAGAATATTGTTTAAAAACAGTGCATCACCAATACCTTGTACAATCTTCTAGTTCCATGCTGAAACAAAGACAGACCAGCAAACTTTTGCATCGTTTATACTTGTTTGCTTGTTAAACTTGTTTTCTTCAAGAAGAATTTACATCTGTAAAGAAAGTTTTTACCAAGGCCGCTGTGAAATATTTAAAAATATCCTTCTGAAAACTTTGTTTGTGAACTACTTTCATACCTTTAGAAAACACAAATGAAACTTGTAACAAAACGCTTATAATTAAAGTGGGTTGGTCTACATTGTGCACATTTTCCATAAGTCTTGATAACAAGACCACAATTAGACAATAAGAAATGTGCATTTTGGATATATTTTGGAAATGTTGATAGAGTTCTAAAATGATTTAGTATGGACATAATATATAATTGTTCTAAAACACTTTATTATACACATATACTATATATTAATATGTTGTATCGGATCATGTATCTATCACTTGCCAATAACACCCATATACAATTATTTGTGGTTTGCTTTAACATATGATTCTAAATACTTACTATAAAATAATTATTTATGGTATTTATATCTCTTATTGTAGACCAATTCACTTTAAAGAAAGTATGATTTAAATTGTTTTTATTTTAATAAGATTAAATTATGTTCCGCTATTTTAGAGTGAAATAGTTAAACAAATCACTACATAATGACTAGCTTTTGAAAAAAAAATCACTATATTGTTTGAACCATAGTAATTTTGATGAGTATAAGTTTGTTGATTTACTACTTTTTACGTTACAAAAAGGAAAAGGAAATTTGAAAGTTGCAATATAACTACAGTAAAAAGAGCAATAGAGTATATAATTATGTTGCATTTTGCTATTGGTTAAATCTTAATTAAGACAGGGTCTTTCAAATAGAATGGTCTGGAGTCGGAAAAAAGATGTCTCAGTTGTGTCACATGATTAGGTTATCTACCAACTGTGATCTGGCATAGTACATCACCCTTCAAAATTCAAATAATAAGATAAATCAATCAAAAAATATTGAAAACTAATCTTGGCTACATTACATTATCAGTTTTGTCTTTGAAAAGTAACAATTTATTATACATGAATTTGAAATAAAATTAGGAAATCTACAAACCATGATCTGGCATAGTGCATCAATATTCAAAATTATAATTAGAAGATAAATTGATAAAAGGTTACTGAAAACTAATTTTGGTTACATTACAGTATCAGATTTTACTTTAAAAAGTAACAATTCTATAGATTTGCAATGGAATTTGGATTTTTTCATTCCCGGTGTCAAGGTAAAAATCTACTGCATTTATTTGAAAATAGGTCCAAGTTTCATAAACTTTTTTTTTTAATTATGCATTGTTCAATGCCAAAATAGAAATTGATTTTACGAAGAAAAAATGTTATTTAATCGTATCATGTAAAGATGATTTTATAATATTTCACAATGTTATTTACAAATATTTGATGTTAAATTTGATGCATTTTCAAGAATGGCATCGTTTGTTGGCAAATATGTCGTTCAACAAATAATGGCTTTATGACCTTATTACCTGAAATATTTATCTTTAAGTCACATGTTTAAAGATTTTTAAAGAACATCATATTGTCAGAATTTTTCATTTTGCTCCTGTATTTAGGTTTTCCTCCTTTTGTTGAACACTTACATAATTTGCGTATAGAAAACTATACCGAGTTATACCAAGACATGTTATATTGTGGCGAGAAGGATTTACATAGCGCGTTTCCAGACCATTCTATTTTAAGATAAAAATATATCATTGGTTATGATGACTCAACAAGTTATATGACCAAGATAAAATGGCTGTAATTTAATATATAACCGATGCTTTCGGGTTATATAGCAATTTAGCAAACAAACAGTTTTTATAAATGACCGTATTAACTTTCAGAAGTATTTAAGGAATTTATAAAATTAAACAAATGCCTCCTTGGTTTAATAAAGAGAGGTGAAAAAAGTATCTTTAACTTTCAGCAGATGTGTGCTTAAGTGGTGTATAATATATTAATATTAATAATCAACGCTGCCAGTAGTGTGAGAGTTGTTATCATTGACAATTGACAACTTATAACTGTACCATTTCTCCATAGTATACTTATGTCCCTTGCATGCAAGAAAATAAAAAATCTTCATTAGTTCTGTTCAGATGTGTCAATAATAGGTTGATATGTATATTTGTACATAATATATTAATGTATAGCTTATCCATGTTCTAGTTAGATTTGATGTTGTTCTATTGTCCGCTCAAGTATATACATATGTATTTATAAGTTATCTATATGCTCTAAATACTATTTTTTGTGTGTTTGAGGTACTGTGTATCTCATTGTCAAACTACTTTGTTTATATGCATGTACATAATTTATATTCAGTGATCAGAAAATGGCATGTATATTACTTACCTATGTTAAATACATACATTCAGGTAACACAATAAGGATACATCCAGAACAATGGGATATTGTTATGCTACTATGACATGAAATATGGCAAATTAGGGTCATCATGGCCTTTTTGTTACTTTAAGAGATGTTTTTTGTGTATATATGTATATAGTTTTCTTAGTATGATTTTGTATAATTTACAAAGATAAGTATTGTTGTATTATGTGTATATATTCAATATAGCGCCCAGTCTCTAAATCCACAATCATATCAGTAATAATATTCTCATACAACAAATTTGTAAAGATTGTAATAATTACTTACACTTGGTTCATAAGGGTCATCATGGCCATCATGTTACTATTATGATTTTTGTATACATGTATATAGTTTTCTCAGTGGAATTTGTATAATTTACATAGATGAGTATTTTTGTATTTTATGTATGTATTCAATATAGCACCCGTTCTCTATAAAACAATCATTAATTTTACTCTCATACAACAAAGGTTTAAGAAGGTAATTATTCAAGAATCACCTTAGTTTTCTCTCATGCCTTTTCATATTAAGTTTTGTCCCTCCAAGGTTAATTTTTTAAAGTGTTGAAGTGAAGAACTTGAAAATTCATAGATAGATAAATCTCATTAAGAAAACTGCAGTGAACTATAAAAATCATACCCTCATATAACACATTTTAGACATAAAAGCCCTTTAAAAACTGCAATGCTTATTTTTTTGTTTCGAACCTTTGAGGTAAATTGCTGTCTTGTGCACATTTTTAGAGTTATTGCCCATAAGGCTTTGTAAATGTCCATATTTCATTTATTGCCGGACACAACTCATACACAATTCAATGTATCTACATGAAACGTTTTTGGTACTTCTAAATATCTGATTGAGGTACAATGTATATGCAATGTGTAAATTTTGTAGTTATTCACCTTTGTAACAGTTTATACTAAATTTTCGTGTAGAGCATACCTTTAAAGGCACATTTTGTCTCTGAAATCTGTTTTTATTCAATTCATTAGAAATGTCAAAAATGTGTTTAATAATATTTTTATAATTGATTTAGAACATGTTAAGATGTTTAACAGCTGGGGAAAGTAGCGCTGAATGTGCAGTTATATGTCCTAAAGTTAACAAAATGTAAACAAAAGTAGTAGTTTTCCTTTCATATAAAATTATAATTCACTACAATTAAATCAATTGCCAACAAAGCAGCTCGATCAAAGATGGTTAAATTTCATGACGAATGAGTTTTTTTTTGTTTTGAAACTGTAACAAGATACTAAAAATAAAGTTAAAAAATGATTTCTGAGGCATAATAGGCCTTAAAGTCCATATCAAGTTGAACATGAAATATCATTTTATCCTTCTGACAAAACAGCTTTGAAGGTCATTGCAACTTATTTGCAATAGAAGAGAGGCTGTTGTAAAACTATTTTAAGACGTTATGATGAAAATTTATAATGATTTTTGTTGATGAAATGTTGGTTAAAGACCCATTATACATCAAAATGCTATCATTTTATTTCTTATTTTCAGCAATCTGATATTTACAACAAATTTGACATTTTGAAGTTTTAGAAAATGTTAGAATTACAATATTACTGATTTACTGTTTTACATATTATTAAGTAAGGGGAGATAAATATGAAAAAGTACATTTTGTTATATATATTATAATAATTATACTGTCAGTACTGATTACAAGTATGATATGTTTACAGAAATCTTATTTTTTATAAATTAATGTTCTATACATGTAGATTATATCATAGTTCATATATTTAATACAAATAAAATTGTAAACAACATTGATGTTTTAGTTATAATATATACAAATACATGTAAATCAATTTCGTTAAAAGGTAAATTTGGGGTATGTAGCTGTACACAATTATCCTGGATGTTGTGTCCTATTGGGGAAATACTCATTATGTAGCACCAGTACTGGTTTAGTCCAGGAATACATAGTACACACATGATTGATTCTCAATCTTAACAAGTTCGAGTGGTCGTATTGTACAGATGCAAATTGTTGAGAAGCAATAATTAAGGTGGCTTATTATGAAGGTATAATATATGAACCAGAGTGACAAGGATAGTACCTTATGATTGATGTTGTCTAGAAAGAAAGAAACATTACAAAATTACTCAGATACACAAATCAAATGCTGGCCAGTTGATGTACACTTCTAGTTATAACAAAACCTAGCCACATTATAAAAAGAGAAGTAGGACGGAAACAATTATTGCTATATATGCATACTAACTAATCAAGGGCCATAACTTTGTATTGAAGGGTCTGATAGGAACAAGGCGACAATATGCACATCTTGTCTTGGTACTGATGGTTCCCATAGTTTCGTTGAATTCCTGCCAGTAGTTGCAGAGAACTAGTGCACGATTATTGCTCTTTATGTATAATCAAGGGCCTTAACTCTGTACTCAAGCGCCTGACCTAAACAAGGCAACGATATACCCATCTCCTCTTAGTGTTTATGTTTCCCATAAAGTTTCGTTGAATTCCAGCCAGTAGTTGCAGAGAACTAGCGCTGAAACGAAATTCGGACGGACAGATGGAAAGCACCTAGATACAAGAACCAAACCTAGCAATCTGACCTAATAGTGAAAGTACCAAACAATTTTTACAAAAGATACAAAGTGTTTTTATCGTAATATCCTGGAAACAATATACTGCCCCCTAGAAAGAAGAACGAGATATTTATATATTTGGAATGAGTTATCTCGTGACCAAAATATATCATGTTGTTTTTTCCCTGTGTAACCGTACCATACTGATACAAAATGGCTACTGTGAATCCATTTTATGCCCTCTCGAGTTATTCCCCTTTATTTCTTGATATTAACATACATTGTTAGAAACGTATTGATTTCTAAGTACTTCAGATTTGTGAACGTAGTTAATGGCGTCAATAGGTTACGCTACTTTACGTGACGTAAGATGTTTACGTCGACGTCATCATTTTTGTTTTGTTTTGTTATTGAGAATCTCGTCAGTTTAAATCTGGAACTTGATGTATTGAGACAAGTCAAAATCGGTATGTTTAATTTAACAAAAAAATTGTTTCCTAGTGATAACTCGTTTAGATTTATTTGAAGTAGAACCCACGTTCCCGAACAATTCTCTATTCCTTCAATATGGAGGAAGTATCTACCGAAAATGGAACAGATCCTACGCATGAGGATTTTGGTAGTGTTAAGCGTTCACGTTCTTCGTAACTAGGAAAATTGACGCGATTATACAAAGACTTAGAACTGAAAATGATATCACATGAGAACGCAGATGATGTACAAATATTGTATGACACGTTGTGTGAGCGCTTTGAATCATTTAAATCAGCACATTTGTTATGCTTAGACTTATGCTCAGACCCGGATGTACGGAAAACGCTTGAATTGAATTATGAACATTGTAGTCAAAACTTCTTTGAGTGCCAGGAAAGATTTTCACAGTGGAAATCTGTGCAGAATATACCTGATGATGATGTTTTATATAATAATAATAATAATAATAATAATAATAATAATAATAATAATAATAATAATAATAATAATAATAATAATAATAATAATAATAATAATAATAATAATAATAATAATAATAATAATAATAATAATAATAATAATAATAATAATAATAATAATAATAATAATAATAATATCTTTATATAAAGAAGGTTACACATTTAGAACATACAATAACAATCATATATATCTTATTTCCAATGTGGCCTTCTGAAATAGAAAACAACAACAACAACAACAGGACATGCATAGGTAGAAAAATGAACGTATTATATGTAATTTTTAGAATAATACAACTCATATACTTTCGACAGACACTCAACAATTTGTTTAAACATATACGTATATTGCATCATTCGTTCGTTCGTTCATTCATTCGTTCGTTCATTTATTAATTCATTCATTCATTCACTCACTCATTCATTCATATGAACATCAAGATATACTTTGTATTTTTCTTTAAAACATTTAAGGTTATTAACATTACGAATATTTAAAGGTATTATATTGTTCCAAATGTTCATACCATAATAAGAAAATGTGTCTTTAATATAATTTGTTTTAGGTCTTGTCCATAATACAATATCTTTTCGTGACCTAGATCTTAAGTTATATATTTTGTTGTCGGATAAAGTCATCAGTTCTGTCATATAAGTCGGTGCCATGTTATTTAAAGTTTTAAAAACAAGCACCGCCGTGTGGTATTTACATCTGTCAAGGAACGGTAACCAGTTAAGAGTTTCGAATAGATTTATCTACAGTTAGCAGTGCAAATTCCGTGTCATCACAGGCAAAGTTGAAAAGTGCGAAAGCAAAACGTTTGATTGCTGAATTAAAATTAAAAACATGGACTCGAATTAGCGCGCAAGGAACTCGAATTTAAACAGCAATTACTTGATCAACAGATTGTTCTTGAAGAAGCGCAAATAGAAGAATCCGTCTGGCAAGAAAATTGTGTTAACGCGGATGAATCTTCAAAGCAGAGAGTCTCCTAGTGACAAAAATTCAAATAAACGTCCTAAAGGCAAAGATGGGATTTTCAAATCCAGAAGTGATACGTCAGCATGTTTATTATCCGATGATTGAATTAATAATAATCATCACAGAATGTTGGGCGGTACAAGCGGATTTGATGCAGACGACAGTGTTGAACGCACCTATTCCCGTGCTGCACGTGATATGAGTAATACTGAATCGTACAAATTGTCAAATCGCACGCTAAACGCAGTATCTGGTAACGGATCATGTACAAGAAATTCCGACGTTAGTGAATCCGGTATTGATACAGCATTTCAAAAACTTGCTTTCGCGCTGCACGAGGGATTCAATTTACCGAAACCGGAACTATTAACTTTCAGCGGAAAGCCAACGGAATATTGCAAGTTTATAAAGAACTTTGAAACTAATATAGAAAATAGAGTTTCTGATGACAGCCAACGGTTGAGTTATTTAATACAATACTGTTACGGAAAAGCAAAAATTTGTATCGAAGACTGTGTGTTGTTAGAACCAAGTGAAGGATACAAACGCGCACGCGAAATCTTATACTCTCGTTATGGACGTCTGCACGTGATCACGAGGACATACATTGAAAAACTTGTAGAAGGCCCCCAGTTATCAGCATCTGACATTAAAGGTATTTCTAATTTAGCCATGGAAATGCAAAAATGTGAAATAACGTTGTCACAACTGGGTTTCTCTTGTGAAATAGATAACTCTCAAAATTTGAAACGTATAGTGAAGCGGTTACCAATGCATTTGAGAGTGAACTGGGTTGAGATCGCACACGTGATTAATGAGTCTGGCAGAGAACCAAAGTTTTCCGATTAAGCGAGATTTGTAGATGAAAAGTCGCAAGTTGCTAATTCCATGTACGGTATAGACATTGTCAAGGAGAATAGATCATTAAAAGTGGAACATAAGACGACTTCCGGTCGATCTTATGCTGAAAAACCATCAAAAGATATAACAACACTGACTACTCAGAGTAATACGGAAATGAAAAAGTACGAGCGAAAATGTAGATGTTACCATGGTAACTGTGCAGATTTATGTTCATGTGTAAAATTTAAGTCTATGAATTTAAAAGAACGGAACGAAGTGGTTAAAAAGAACAAACTGTGCTTCAATTGTTTGAAAGGAAATCATTCCTTTAATAACTGTAGGAAACCAAAGTTATGTACCGTGCCGGATTGTAGAATTAAACACAATATTCTACTACATAGTTGGACTGGACCACGGAATGAGGCTTCAGTCACACAATCCTCGGTGAATTGCGCAGCTGTTAAGAGTTCATTTGTGAAGAACTGTTTGGGTGTTGTGCCTGTGATTGTAAGAGGCGAAAACGGGATTCAGTGTCATACATACGCGCTGTTAGACGATGGTGCTGATAAAGCACTATGTGACGAGAGACTGTTACAGAAGTCAAATGTTGAATGTAAGTCAATTACGTTTCAAATATCAACCGTGAACTCATCTAGCAGCACGAGTTATGGGCATGAGGCGGACCTTACAGTTATGGCTGTAAACGGAACCGGAAGTGAGGAAGTCTCCCTACGTAAGGTATGGCCGGTGAAGAAACTACCGATATCTGTAAATCAGCGGCAATGCATTTAGACTACAAAACTTTTCCATACTTATCTGACATTCAAATTCCCCAAATTCCCAATACTGATGTAATGCTTCTTATTGGCACAGATTTCCCATCAGCCCATATCCCCTTAGAAGTACGGTCAGGAGACAGTGACCAACCATATGCAGTGCGTTCCCGTTCGTGGCCCCTTGAAAGACGATACAGCTCCCAGTGCAGTAAATATTCACTTTGAACAGTTCAGAGACATATTATTACAGGAATAATTAGAAAAGATGTGGAATACTGATTTTAAATACAGATTGAACGAGAAAAATTCTATGTCCTTAGAAGACAAAAGTGCAATGAAAATAATAGAATCTTCTCTTATTCATAAAGACGGACACTACATGATGGGGTTACCATGGAAAAACGAGAACGGACAATTGCCTAACAACATTCCACTCACTCAAGTGCGTCTTCAACAACTAAGAAACAAACTGTCACGTGACCCAGGGTTACAGAAAATGTACACAACTACCATGAACGAATATATACAGACAGGTTTTGCGACTGAATTACCGGAATTGGAGGACAAAACTATCACAAACGTATCTGGTACTTACCACATCATCCAGTTACTAATGTAAACAAACCAGGGAAAGTTCGCATTGTGTTTGATTGCGCTGCGAAATATAAAGGCGTTTCATTGAATAGCCAACTGCCCCAATGAACAGTCTTATGGGCGTAGTAATTCGTTTTAGGAAAGAGAAAATAGCCCTTGTCGCGGATATAGAATCCATGTTTTATCAAGTGCGCGTTACGGATGAAGATCGCAATGTTTTACGTTTTCTATGGTGGCCTGGTGGGGACTTAAACAAGAAACCGAAATGTTAACGCTTGAATGTACACTTGTTTGGAGTGACATCATCACCAAGTTGTGCGGCGTATGCCTTAAAGAGAACTTCAGTTGACAATGCCGAAATATATGAACCGGAAGTGGTTACTACAGTCCAGAGAAAGTTTTATGTTGACGACTGTTTGAAGTCTGTGGAATCAGAACAAAAGGCAATATAGTTAGCAACTGATCTTCAGTCAATTATGAAGTTAGGTTGATTTCGACTGACTAAATGGCTAAGTAACAGCAGAGAAGTTTTGAATGCTATCCCAGAATCCGAACGCGCCCCTTCTGTTGTAAATTTGAGTTTCGATGATACCTTACCTTGTGACCGCGCCTTAGGAGTACTTTGGAATATAAATGAAGATAAAATTTGTTTTAAAGTAAAATTGGAAAAGAAGCCTTTCACGAGACGTTGAATTCTTTCTGTCGTAAGTTCTATATACGACCCACTTGGACTTGTGTCACCTGTTACACTCCAGGCCAAAGGTATAGCAGATTGAAGATTGGCTGGGACGACCAGATACCACACAACATCAGTAATGAATGGCAAACTTAGTTATCTACCTTATCTATAGCTTAGAAAAGCTATCTGTGAATCGCTGGTACAGACCACAAGGATTTGGGACCGTCAGAAATACCCAGTTACATATATTCAGTGATGGCTCGGAACGAGGCTATGGTGTATGCGCTTACTTGCGTTTTGTTGACGTACATGACAACGTACATTGTTTCATCGTGGTGATAGGAAAATCTAGCACCAATAAAGCAGATGTCTATTCCACGACTTGAGTTATCTGGCGCTGTAGTAGGGTGTAGATTATTTGCAATGTTATCTGAAGAATTAGATATGAACTTTGACCAAGTTACTTTTTGGACAGACTCCATGATTGTTCTTGGATATATAAATAACGTGTCCAAGCGGTTCAAGACGTTTGTTGGGAATAGACTCAGCATAATTCATGAAACAACACACAAGTTCGAATCCCGCAGACATAGCTTCCAGAGGAATAAGTGCATACGATAGTGAAAAAACTTAATTTATGGTTAAATGGTCCTATGTTTCTTCAGCAAGACTCTGAAAAATGGACAAAAAATCCACTTCCGCCGGAAGTAGCAGAAAATGATAACGAGGTCAAGAAGGAAGTCCTGATTAATAAAACTTCTGCAGCTGAATGCCTAGATAGCATTATAGATCGCAATTGTAGCTGGACGAAACTAAGAAGAGCAGTCGCAAGATACAAGAATTTCTGTAGACAGTGATACCTAAAACACAAGTTGAAAATTGTAGATGGCAACAATATTAGAAGAAATGCAGACAGCAAAGCATAATATAATGTTGTATGTACAGAAAACAGCATTTTCCAGTGAAATTAACAATTTACAAAATTCTAAGCCGGTCAAAAAGGACAGTAGTATAGCTTCATTGAATCCTATGATATATGATGACCTCATTCGGGTACAGGGTCGACTTCAATCTCGCAACCAGAGTAATTGTCCAGTGATACTACCCAATAAAAATACCGTGACAAGAATGATAATACGACATATACATGAAAATAATGGTCACGCCGGGAAACAGCATGTTCTAGCCGCATCCCGTGAAAAATACTGGATACTTCAGGGACCTAGTGCAGTGAAAAATATTGTAAAGAATTGCATTATATGCAGACGACAACATACCCCATTAATGACTCAACAGATGGCCCCTCTCCTTCCCGAGCAGACGACACCAGATGAACCTCCGTTCACGAATGTAGGTATTGATTACTTTGGGCCACTTATTGTAAAAGCAGAGCGTACACATGTAAAGAGATACGGTTGTCTTTTCACGTGTCTTGCAACTAGAGCAGTACATCTTGAAGTTACACACACTTTGACAACTGACTCCTTCACCGCAGCATTTCAGCGTTTTACGGCTAGAAGAGGATATCAAAAGGTGTTCAGTGATAATGGAACAAATCTTGTGAGCGGTGTCTACTTGAAAGTTCACCTTAGTCATACTCATGTTGCTTATTGACACTTTAAATGCTAAGCTTAAACATTAACCACTCGAATATACATATATTTAAGTTTAAAAGGTCAAATTTGTCTCTTTATTGTACATAGTTATTTAGAATTTTGATGAAATTTATGAGTAATTTCATGGCAAGGACTGATTTCTAAGTACTTCAGATTTGTGAACGTAGTAAATGGCGTCAATAGGTTACGCTACTTTACGTGCCGTAAGATGTTTACGTCGACGTCATCATTTTTGTTTTATCTTGTTATTGAGAATCTCGTCAGTTTAAATCTGGAACTTGATGTATTGAGACAAGTCAAAATCGGTATGTTTAATTTATAGAGGATATTGAATGAGTGTAAGTTCAATACTGAATTTATTGCACGAGTTGAATAAAATTATATTATGCGAGCCTCTGGCGAGCATAATATTATTTTATTCAACGAGTGCAATAAATTCAGTAATGAACTTACACGAATTTAATATTCTATTTATCACATACCCAAAATAAAGACCGTTTAAAGAGAAATAAGAGTCATTTTTCATTGACGCGCCTATAGTATAACGCTAACATTTAGCGCGTCATTACACTATGTTTGTATAACGCTAATGACGTCACGTCAAAATATATGCACGGCCGTGCAATACCATATTTACGGAGTCGCAAAATCGGCACGGGTGTGTGATAAAACAAAATAATGCAGTTATTTTAAAAGATAATTTACAGTAAGATTTAAATTTAAAGGTACAAAAGTTCTAATTAGATTTATTGTGTAATTCATATGTACGGAAGCTTATCAGGGCCTACAGTTGATGAAATGTTTTGCGCCAAGTCGACTTATTTTATTCGCATTGATAAGATGTTTTTGCATTTCTCAATAAAATGTACTGACAAAGATGAGAAGCTTTTAGGCATTGCAACTAAATTTTTCTCGATATGCTTGAACATTTCGTCTCTTCGACAAAAATCCTGTAGAAACTTCGTGATTTCACGACTTTGCTGAAATATTTAGTAAGACGCAAAGACGTTACTCGCATTGACAAATAGCTCACGTAATTCAACAAAAGCTTTTTTACAATAATTAAAACCTTCTACGTATTACTTATAACGTCTTCATGGAATGTTTTACGTATTACGTATTAATCGTAACGTCTTCATGAAATGTTTTTGGTAAAAATGAGAAGAAACAAGTTGACATGACGTAAAACTTTTAGATAAGAGGAGGCCCTGATAAGCTGCCGTACATATGTAATTTATTGATGATGTGGATGTTTTTATGTTTATTATTTATTGCGAAGTACAAATTGTAAATGAATATTTTCAGAAAATCGCTTATCATCGCTTATCGACGTTTATCAAGGAAATAAAAGTTAAAGGCGCATACTCGTTTAGATTTATTTGAAGTAGAACCCAAGTTCCCGAACATACATGTTCTGCTCAAGCACTTTTACTATCTGACTATATAATAAATATATGCTTAAAGCAGCACGCTAATTTTCATGAAAATTTGAAAATGTATTAAGCAGTATAATATTGTTAAGTTACCAAAATAATGCAAGTTACACATTATCAATGGCACTTAACAACCCAATGTCCTGTAGAGGTAAAAAAAATATGCAAAAATTGACCTTACTGCATTAGTAACGCAGTAGAAATATAGTTATTTATTTAATTTCACCCATGAAATATATAGAGGATATTGAATGAGTGTAAGTTCAATACTGAATTTATTGCACGAGTTGAATAAAATTATATTATGCGAGCCTCTGGCGAGCATAATATTATTTTATTCAGTCAAAATATATGCACGGCCGTGCAATACCATATTTACGGAGTCGCAAAATCGGCACGGGTGTGTGATAAGGTGCTTTATTACATGCTTTTCGGTGGTTTATAGAAATATATCAGTGATATAAAACTGGTAATTTCACTGTTTGAAACAGTGAAATTACCACTTGGATAATTTCACTGTTTTGAATTTAAGCCCCTTACGTTGTTTCAGTGAAATACCAGCGTGCACAGTACTGGGTACCAACTTAATGACGTGACGTCGTAAATGACGTCACGTTGTATTATTATTTGGCGCGCTTTTCATTCAGTATTAGGTTAAATGTCTTTTTAAAACGTTTCTTTGCATATAATAAAAAGAAAATTTGTTTAGTTTAGTGTAAGATTGAAATATATTTCACCTTGTGAACACCAAAAGTTCATATTTCACTCGTGGCTGCGCCACTCGTGAAATATACCTTTTGGTGCTCACTCGGTGAAATATATTCCGATCTTACACTGAACTAAACAAATATCCTCTATATATCAGTCAAATATATTTCATATTTTTTAAAAATAAATATGAAATATAAATATGAAAGTGGGCGGAGTCAAAACTCATATTTATTTTACGGGACTTCTTTCGCCATTTTCTGTTAAAAATCTGATAAATACAAAACAACTTTTTGTTAAATTTCGTTTTGAAAACTATCTAGAATGATAGAAAATGGTCTAACTAAGAAAATAAATCCGAACAACAATATCTTTAATTCAGTCATTAACGCTGTACAGACGTTTAAAGAGTTGTTTACGTGAAATCTTAGTACATTTTTCTCACGTTTGATTTTATCGTAATATTTTTGCTCATCTGCAGACGTGCAGCTTTATTATACAAAGTGTTCTAACGTAAAGAATATTTCGCTTAATGATTACAAGATAATTCAATGATGTGGCTGACTTTGTAATATATCTCGGACACGTTTAGAGTCCGTTTAAATCACGAAATGAATTAACAAAACTGACTTAAATTTAATTGTTGCTTATTTCCGAGACATATTTATAATTGATTCAGGCTTATTATTTATACACGGTAATAAACAAGTTGTACATAAAGTGTAGACATGTCAATGATTAATTTCATTTATTCCCCAAAAGTTTTGATACTAATGTCAGTAATCAGTTTTATGTAGCTCAATGTTGTCAAACATTCTTAAAGGGACTCCACTGAGGTTTTTTGACATGACGGGACTGGAAAGTTTGTTTTTTTAGATTATTACTCCATTTGATGAAGATCTATACTAATAACTTATTTCAGATCATTAGCTCGCTCTGTTTTTCCAAAATAATTATTATGATAGCGAAAAATGACCCAAAATTAATTTAAACGCTTTTCACTCAAATCTTACTGAGAATAGCACAAACTATTTTTAATGTATTTCTCAGTTATATTTTATTTATATTTCTGTTTAAAGTGCTCATGTTTATCTATGTGAAAAAATAAAATGTTATGTGTTCGGCTTATAAACCTCAATGGAGTTCCTTTAACGGATAAAAGTTGTATATCATCACTTTAGAACTAAGATTATCATACATCCAAACTGCTGAAAGTTTTCACAAGATTTGAATGGAAGTAACTATAATAGGCCTATAACTTTAGAAAAGAAGTCATGCATTCTCATTTAATAAATTTGATGCATTAAAAGTATTATTACAATCTATTTTATTATTAGCATATTTAAAATTTTAATATGACTCGAGTTATATCAGCTGACAATCACTAATCTTGTAAATCAATATCAACTGTAAATATGTATCGATATGTTATGAGACAAAATAAATACAAATAATGAAACCTTTGGTAAGGTATTGTCTAAAAAATTTTAATTATCTAAACCTCGACAAGCAAGGTCAATTAAAGGCCTAGGTCATATCAGAATAACTGAAAACTGTTGGTTTTGTCTTGTGTGTTCTTTTGTCCAAGTATGAATAACATCTGTGAATAATTTATGTTACACAAGTTATCACAAATCAAACTTTTAGGAGATGCATAAATAAATTGCTAATAACAACAAAAGACAGACGCATTGCAATGACAAAAGCTTACCTCTCAAAACTAAGTGCTCAAGTCAGCAAAAATAATCAAGCCTTGACATCGTTGTTAGCATTTATTTTTCTTTATTTTCTTTACAATTTAGAAGAAAAAAAATCTTTCAGTTTGCTTGTTTATAAATATAGCACAAGTCTAACTGCTACATATAATAAATTATAATTTAGTTTCCTTCTTCATTATCTTACACTATTACAACTACAAATATACGAGTATATGTATAAAACAAGCAAATTCGTTGAATATATACGAGTATATGTATAAAACAAGCAAATTCGTTGAATTTATATCCCCCACCGAGTACTGGTTTTATTAACACAACAACTGAAGACATAAGGCTTTATTTATGTATTAATCATGGCATAAACAGTAATATTCTTTGAACTTGATAAATATTCAGGGTAAAAACAGAGCCATAACTTTGTGTTAAATAGTAAAATCTGGAAATGCCAATGATATGTATGCATACTACATAACTAATCAAGGGCCATAAATCTGAGTTATAAGTATCTGACTGGAACAAGGCGAATATATGCACATCTCCTCTTAGTATCCCATAAAGTTTCATTGAATTCCAGCCGGTGGTAGCAGAAAAGTAGCGAGATAACAAATATTTTTCTATATGGATACTGCATGACTAATCAAGGGCCATAACTCTGAGTTAAAGTGTCTGACCGGAACAAGCCGATGAAATGCGCATCTCCTCTTGGTAATGAAGGTTCCCATAAAGTTTTGTTGAATTCCAGCCAGTAGTTGCAGAGAAGTAGTGCGGAAACGATTTTTACTCTATATGCATACTACATAACTAATCAAGGGCCATTACTCTGAGTTAAAGGGTCTGACTGCAACAAGCCGACGATATGCGCATCTCCTCTTGATATTGATGATTCCCATAAAGTTTCGTTAAATTCCAGCCAGTAGTTGCAGAGAACTACTCCGGAAATGATTTTTACTCCATATGCATATTGCAAAACTAATCAAGGGCCATAACTCTGAGTTAAAGTGTCTGACCCGAACAAGTCGACGACATGCGCATCTCCTCTTGGTATTGAAGGTTCCCATAAAGTTTCGAAGAATTCCAGCCAGTAGTTGCAGAGAAGTAGCGCGGGAACGATTTTTACTCCATATGCATACAGCATAACTAATCAAGGGCCACAACTCTGAGTTAAAGTGTCTGCCCGGAACAAGCCGATGATATGCGCATCTCCTCTTGGTATTGAAGGTTCCCATAAAGTTTCGTTGAGTTCCAGCCAGTAGTTGCAGAGAAGTAGCTCGGAAACGATTTTTACTCTATATGCATACTACATAACTAATCAAGGGCAATAACTCTGAGTTAAAAGTGTCTGACCGGAACAAGCCGACGATATGCGCATCACCTCTTGATATTGATGATTCCCATAAAGTTTCGTTGAATTCTGGGGTGAGCACTTTCATTTTAAATGAAATCAAAGACTTTCAAAAGTTACAAACAATAGTATGAAAATGAAATGGTATCACAATTTCTCAAAGTTTATATAACTTGCATTCTTGACAGATTGGATTTCAGGCTTTGACCTTCATGTTACAGGTACTGTTAGACCTTCAGGAAGTATTTTTTACATCATTCATACATTAATATATATCTAACTTTTCAAAACAATCTAACACTGATACATGAGCAATATCATATATAACTAGAGGATGAGTGCATTATTTTAATAGAGTAGAAAAGAAATATATAAAATTCCTTATATTTCAAATGCAAAAAGGTTAGGAAACAAATTCTCTAGATCATGCCATTTTAGCTCTACTTCATGATTCTCTGTTCTCAATTCAAACCCAAGAATATAAAATTCATGTGTAAGCTCTTATATACTCAGATCACTCATTTAACTTTATAAAACTTGTTAGTTTTGGTTTGTGCCAAGCAACGGGAGAATCATATCCTTCCTCTTTATAATTTTCCATATAAGTCAAATATTAGTTTCTTGAACACACGTCTACTGTTACTGATCAAATCTGAGCCAATCTCTTCATGTGTATAAAATGCTTCTGAATGGTTGAGATCGGTAAATGGCTCCCCATACTGTATTTGTTCCTAGAATTCATCTACGGCACTGGAAACTATAGAGACTATTTCTTTCTCCTAATGACGCACAACATAAAACACCTCCTCTGCAAATTTCTTCATATCAGATCTTGGAACGCTTAGTTGATCTAAAAGATTAAAAGCAATTTAAAGCATGGTCAAAGAAATTTTGGAAACAAGAGCTGTCAATGAAAAGTGACTTATGCCTACAAAAGGAAGTTTTGACAATTGTGTTAAACTAGAAATGTGTCATCATGCCACGGGTGCCCCCGCATGCAGCCAAAATTTCAGATGGTGCATTAATTTTTTTTTTTCATTTTAAGTTCAAAGCCCTTAAAACTTTTCAATGTTAACACAAACCATTTTCATACAATGTTCAAGACACTGAAATTATTCAGTCTTAACCTTTTAAAAATAGCATATTGCATATTTGTAGCCAAAATAATGGCTAAAAGTATGAGTGCTGAAACTGAAAGTTCAAATTTTTTCCAACATTCAGGAAAGATAAGTTTGTCTAAAATCATTGAACCACAACCAAATTCAAACTTAAACTGCTTATTCCTAAGATGTATCTATATTATTTTCAAAGTGAAAGGGACATAACTCTGCAAAAAAATCATCAATCCATGACCAAATTCCAACTTGACCTGCCCATTCCTTTGACATATCCATATGTCAAATTTAAGTTGAATATGTAACACTGTTGGGTAGATAATGAACAGAAACTGTAAATTTCATATTATTTTCAAAGTGAAAGGGGCATAACTCTGCCAAAAATCATTGAACCATGACCAAATTCAAACTTGGCCTGGGCATTCCAAAAACTTATCCATATGTCAAATTTGAGTTGAATGTGTTGTACTGTTGGGGAGATAATAAACGGAAACTGAAAATTTCATATTACTTTCAAAGTGAAAGGGGCCTAACTCTGCCAAAAATCATTAAACCATGACCAAATTTGAACTTGACCTGCGCATTCTTTTGACGCATCCATATGTCAAGTTTGAGTTGAATGTGTTGTACCGTTGGGGAGATAATGAACGGAAACTGAAATTTCATATTATTTTCAAAGTTAAAGGGGCATAATTCTGTCAAAAATTATCGAACCATGACCAAATTCGAACTTGACCTGTATTTTGTCATGACATATCCATATGTCAAATTTGAGTTGAATGTGTGCAACCGTTCTTAAGATAATGAACGGAAACTGATGATGACGGAATGACAGAAGGACGGAAGAACGGAACAGGCGGGGGCATAAAAATTTAAGTGGAAAATCAAACATGGTGACAAACAATCCTGCAAAGTTTCACTGAAATCCACCCAGCAGTTTTGGTGAAAAAAGCGCGGACAAGCTTATATTACTTGCAAATTGACCATTAGGGGACCATAAGTGTGCAAAAAAAATAAAGCAGAAAAATAAAGAGAGAATGCACAACTAGGCTTGGTAACAAACAATCCTGTGAAGTTTCACTGAAATCCCCCAAAACTTGACCTAATAAAATAGTCGGCTATACCACAGTAATAAACATAGTCTGTTAGATTCTAATGTGACAATTTTTTCTATTTCTGCTCCACAAAAAATGTGATTAAATGGTATGTTCTCATAAAGCAGGTTTAATTTAAATTGTAATAATAAATTTCAATTTCAACAAGCAAATTCGTTGAATTAATATCCCCCGCTGAGTACTGGTTATTACTAACACAACAACTGAAGACATAAGGCTTTATTTATATATTTATCATGGCACAAACAGTAACATTCTTTGAACTTGATAAATATTCAAGGCAATAACAGAGCCATAACTCTGTGTTAAATAGTAATATCTGGAAATGCCAATGAGATGTATGCATACTGCATAACTAATCAAGGGCCATAAATCTGAGTTATATGAGTCTGACCGGAACAAGGCGACTATATGCACATCTCCTCTTCGTATCCCATAAAGTTTCATTGAATTCCAGCCAGTAGTTACAGAGAAGTAGCACGGAAACGATTATTGCTCTGGTTGTATACTGCATAAGTTATCAAGGGCCATAACTCAAAGTTAAAATGTCTGACCCGAACAAGGCGACGATATGCGCATCTCCTTTTGGTATTGAAGGTTCCAATAAAGTTTCACTGAATTCCAGCCAGTAGTTGCACAGAAGTAGCGCAGAAACAAATATTTTTCTATATGCATACTGCATAACTAATCAAGGGCCATAACTCTGAGTTAAAGTGTCTGACCTTAACAAGGCGAGGATATGCGCATCTTCTCTTGGTATTGAAGGTTCCCATAAAGTTTTGTTGAATTCCAATCAGTAGTTGCAGAGAAGTAGCGCGGAAACCATTTTTGCTCTATATGCATACTGCATAACTAATCAAGAGCCATAATTCTGAGTTAAAGTGTCTGACCCAAACAAGGTAATGATATGCGCATCTCCTCTTGATATTAAAGGTTCCCATAAAGTTTTGTTGAATTCCAGCCAGTAGTTGCAGAGAAGTAGCGCGAAAATGATTTTTGCTCTATATGCATACTGCATAACTAATCAAGGGCCATAACTCTGAGTTAAAGTGTCTGACCTTAACAAGGCGAGGATATGCGCATCTCCTCTTAGTATTAAAGGTTCCCATATAGTTTCGTTGAATTCCAGCCAGTAGTTGCAGAGAAGTAGCGCGGAAACGATTTTTACTCTATATGCATACTGCATAACTAATCAAGGGCCATAACTCTGAGTTAAAGTGTCGGACCAGAACAAGCCAACGATATGCGCATCTCCTCTTGATATTGATGATTCCCATAAAGTTTCGTTGAATTCAAGCCAGTAGTTGCAGAGAACTACTCCGGAAACGAATTCGAACGGCCGGACAGATGGACTATATAATTAAACAGTTCTTCTACAATAATTTTATTGTTTTTATGAATAAAAGTCTTGGTCATGGATGACCATGATATTGCTTAAGTGATAAATAAAACGTCTGGGCATTCTTTCAGATCAAGCTGGGCACTTGTGTGCAACCTCTGACCCAACTTAAGCTACAGTAGCTAAATAGCTTTCCAACATGAAAGGGCTATAAGGTCTTGTTGGGATTTAAACCATTGCAATAAGATGCAAATGATTCAAAGTTAGTGACCACAACAGTACTGTTTGACAACATAGGCCTCTTCTTAATTTCAGCCATTTCATGTAGTTGTAGTGGATAAATTGGTTACAATATTTTGCTGATAGCATTTAAAAGTTCTAAGCATAGAATACTTCAACAAATATTTTAAGTTATAATAATTAAGCTAATAGTATTAGGTTAGGAATGAATAAAAACTGTATATACCATATACACTTGGGAGAGCAAGGGACGCCCCCTGCCGCACTGATGGTATATCATCTTGTAGATTGTTGAAAAACAGTGGATACAATGCTGGTATAGATGACCTGAAAAATACAGTTGAGCTATGTTGGATTTTATATTTAGAAAATATCAATTATGATTGTATTGTTGCATAAAAATGCATCGTAGAGTTCAAATACGCAGGAATACAATCACAGAGGCCGGAAAACCTTAGTGATTAATTACAAAGCATTTGAACAATAAACAGTGCATAGAGGATATTCAAGTTTTTTCTATAAATACATGATTTATTTTCATCGAGTGGTTTGAAAATAAATATTTCATGAGTGGCGGTAGCCACGAGTGAAATATGGTAATTTTCATGCCACAAGATGAAAATAAATCATGTATTTATAGAAAAAACTTGAATTTTCTGTTTATTATGTACATTTTTCTCTTTTTTTGCGATAAAATTTGAAAAACTTTCGCTTTAATTTTGTGTACTGGTAGAATTTATAAGAAAGTAGTCCGGCAAGACACCAGTGAAAATACGGAAAATATGTTTCACTGCAGTGAAAAATAAATTTTTACAGTGAAAATACGGAAAATGAAAATATGCATTTTATTTCATCAATATTTCTCAATATTTCATTTATAAGTATATAATAAATTATTATATTCATCACATACCTGTGCTGCTTTTGGGATTCTGTAAATATGGTAATGCACAGGTCGTGTATATATTTTGATGTGTTATCATTTGCTTTATACAATCATAGCCAAAGCAAAAAAAAGATGCAGGAGATGTCAGTGTTACACTTAAAAGTGCATCAATGAAAAAGTGCTTTCTTTTCACTGTTAACATTTCTTATTTTGGATATGTGATAAAAAGAATATTAGATTTGTGTAGCTTCATTACTAAAATAAATGAACAAGTTAAAACCAGAATAAAATAATTTGAGCCGTGTCATGTCAAAACCAACATATGAGCTTAATGTAATAAACTGCTGCTATAAACATAATCAGAAGGACAGTCAAACAGGGAAATCATATCGTAAATATCAATGCTAGAGTTATGGGTCGTGGCCATCAAAGTTGTGGAGACAGGCCTTTAATATGAAAAACCTGAACCATGAATTTTCTCTAGAGTTTGAGGAGGGGTATAATTCTGTGAGAAAAAAAATGTCCTGCAAGACTTATTGGTCTAAGATATTATATGCAATTATTACCCTAAAATAAGTGTCAAGTTTCATGCAAATACCCACAGGAAAATTCTTTGCAAGGACTCTGATTATTCATAACTAAGGTATGTTTTACACATTTTACCATCTCTAACTGTCCAGCTGTCATCACTTAAACAGATTAGAAGAGCCTCTAACAACATTGGAATATGCATGTCCACAACATCTTTGTTCACCTATAAATACAAATATATATTATGTAGGTAAATTTTTCAACATAACTTGAAAGTTTAAAAAAACAAAACAATTATAATGTAACAATGATATTTGTTATGATATGTAACTCAAGTACTTTTTCATTTTTACGACGGAGTTCTTAGTAACACAAAATATTTCGTTTATAACCATTACCCTATCATCAGATTCTGTCAAATTCTCAATAAGGTCCAAGACAGATAATTTTAATAATAAATACCCTATCTGCGGTTAAATTTTGTTTTCTATTTTGATACATAGACTAATGAACTACTGTGAAAACAAGGGAGGTAAATGTACTTTGACAATAAAGAAAACAACGTAGACTAATCTCCCCACAGATCATGGTACTGGACAGGATGATAAAAAAACAATATTAAATAAACTAGCCTTATTTATTACATGCCTTTTGGTGGTTTATAGAAATATATCAGTGATAAAAAACTGGTAATTTCACTATTGAAACAGTATGTTTAACTTTCTATTATCTCTCATGAACAGATTTACCTGTAATAAATTCAAATCTGCAATTTTTAACTTTTTGTTTCTGTTGTACCCGAGGGATCTCTCCCTTCCAAAAATTCTTTTTAACAAGAGTCACCGCCGAGCAGGGGCAACGCTCGACTTTTTACTTTTTCTACAAGCAAACAAAGAAAGGTTTATACAAATCTTAACGTTTCCTTTATAAATTTAATCGGTCTATATTGTCACATTAGTTTTGTCTATATATTTTACAAAATATATAGACAAAACTAATGTGACAAGACAGACCGATTAATATATATAGAAACACGCAATTCTAAAAATAGAAACACCCAATTCTATAAATAGAAACACGCAATTTTATAAAAAGAAACATGCACACACACCATTAAATATATATGGTCATTTAATGCACAAATCTAAGAAAATTCAGTAATTTAACCTTCAAGGTCAAGGTCATTAAAGAGCCCAATGCAGTTTAGGTTTGATAAACAACAAGGTCTTGTTCTTAAAAATGTTCTGTTATAATATGAAGTTGATCCCTTCAATAATAGCAAAGTTACAGCCAGTTACAGCCAAAACAATGAAAATTTCAATAATTTGACCTTCAAAGTCAAGGTCATTTATGAGTGAAGGTCAAGGTCTGTCTGGTTATTTTTAAGGGCCATCCTAGAAGATTATTATGTTCAAGTTTGAAGACAATCCATTCAAAAATAACAAAGTTACAGCCAATAATAGCAAGAACAAGCAAAATTTGGACTTTTAACTTTGAAGGTCAAGGTCATTTATGGATGAAGGTCAAGGTTAGTGTGATCTACTGAAAGGTCTTGTCCCAAGGGTTGTTGTGGCCAAGTATGAAGACAAAACACCAAGTAATAAAAAATTTATGATCCAGGTACAAGTTTGCGGACGGCATCGGCAACAGCAACGGGATTATAACAATACCTCTCCTTTTTTTCAAAAAAAGTCGAGCTAATAAAAGGAGTAAATAGACTGACACATGCAGTAATTGACATATATGCTGTGAGACAGGCAGTGCAATTATCCATTCTAGTTCTATATTTGTAATGTAAATTTATCTACTTGGAATCTTGAGCTGCCCATCGTTAATTTCATGTATACTGTATTATACTGTATAAGTGGTCAATTTTGCAACATGGAAATATATGCCATTTTTGCTAATCAAAATAATTCGCAAATTATCGAGCCCGTAAAAGTTACCTCAACTTTAGTAAAGTCATAGATGCCCATTCTGATTCATCATTTTACCATTACACTGCTGCACAGATTACTATGTAAATATATCACGTTAAAAATAACATCTTGTTATATACAAGCAAACATATAACATGATTTAATGTTCATTTAATATTAATACAAAGAAATAATAACGAAAAAGGTTCATAATGTGACTTGTTGAACTGAACATTTACTAAGATTACCAGAGTTCTGGAAATTGTACTTTCGCAAATATTTCCGCATGCAAAAAGTCTGTTTTTTTACATTCAAACATTTTGTGATGTAAGAATATTCACTTATACAGTATACATTGACAGAAGCTAAGAATATGAAAAAAATCTTCATTGTTTCACCAATTTTATAACGAAAATTTTAAAGAGTAATAAACTCTGATCTTCAAAAAATCCAGAAAACTTTTACCCATGCCCTGCATTATTAAATGCAACAAGGGCGAACATTGTCACTAAATATGCCTGTCACAAATGTGGGCAATAAGAAGAGTGGCAAGCAAGTTGGTCCCTATAAATAATTTGTATTTTCATCTGAAATTTTACCTCTTGAACTTGATTGCAGGGACTTGAATTTTATGCAGAACACTCAGCCTCACAATAATGAAAATTTGTGCCATATCATAATATTAAAATCACTCAATGCATGTAGGTTTAAGGCTCCCATGTTTACAAATTTTTGTAAACATTTACACGATTGCTATGAACCGAAACGATACCGTTTAAACGGTGGTACTTCTTTGTACTATACTACACCATTTATTCAAGTTTCCAAATGATGACTTACTTTTTATTTACAAATAATTTAATGTTCAGGGCTCATCATGACTGAGTCCACACACATTCCTCATTTCGCTCTTTTGAAACATCAAAGGATAATCAACTTTACCAATGTAATATGTCACGATTAGTGTATGGTAATGCTGTGTGTAGGGTTGTAAATACCTATTTTCCGTATCTTACTTTGGAATAAACCAATTACAATTGATAGAATTCATGATTACAGGCAATGATTTAGATATTATTTTGTAAGACAATATCTTCATTTCGATTAAACGGTAGAAAATATCGTAAACGTTTTCGAATAAAAATCGGAAAAAATCCGTTTAAATGCGTAACCGTGGGGGCCTTATGTAGGATTGTTTTGTTGTTTTTTTTTCAAAAAAAGATCTAAATGTGACCTTGATATTTGACGAGAGATCTGGTTCATGCACAGGGCACTTCATCTCCTGGTCGTTAACATTTCTATAAAGAATTATAAAAATTCTTTCATGCATGTGGGAGATATGCTCCAGACAAAATCTGGATATTTCATCATCTTTAATGACTTTAACCTTGCACCTTGAGTTAAATGTTTCACAGATGTTGTCATGGAAATGACCATTTGTGTTACAGTCCGTCAATAAATGATGAATAAATTGTCCCTTTACACATCTTCATATTTCTATTTGAACTTTGACCTCTGTGAACTTCATCTCAGGGACTTGAATTTTTTGCACAACACTACACCTTACAATGATGCACATTTGTGCCAAGTCATTTAAAATCTCCCTATGAATGTAGAAGTTTTTCTCCGGACAAGCATTTTTAAATTAGCTCTTGATCTTGATCTTTGACCTAGAGACCTGAATCATGTGTAGAGCAATACGTCTCCTGGTGGTGAACATTTATCTAAAAGTAATTTAGAGATATGCTCCAGACAGAATCTGGAAATTTTATCATCTTAAGTGACTTGACCTTGCATAAATAGACTTAAATTACATGTATCACAGCTGTAGGCATGATAATGACTATTTGTGTAACAATCCCCCAATAAACGATGTCAAAATGGTCCAAATACACATCATCAAATTTCATCTGAACTCTGACCTCTATATGTGACCTTGATATGGCCACAGGGACCTGAATTTTTGGTGCGACACTACGCCTCAAAATGGTTAAGATTTATGCCAAGTTATATTGAATTCCTAAATGCATGCAGAAGTTTTTTACGGCCAAACATTTTCCAATGACCTCTAAGTGTGACCTTGACCTAGAGAATAGGTTCATGTGTGTGACATGGGTTCTTATAGTTATAAATGAAGTTTCATTAAAGTCTCCCTATTTGTGAACGAGATATGCTCCAGACAAAATTGGATGCTACCCGCACTCCATCCCCCTGCTCGCCAGGCGTTCCTATATTATGTCCCGTTTATTAAACGGGTGTATAAAATACAGTAATAGTGTCTAGTTAAACAGCAAGAAAGAGCAGATTGAGCGGCGTGACTTACCACTTGTCCGATGTACCAGTTGTTTCCCCTGCTCTCCCATCACTTGTTTCCATGTGTCCTGTGAGTAAATACGGAGACCTTCGGCTGCGTAATATCTGTAACAAATACACAATCATTTAAGATCATATCATTTCAGACATTTCTACTCTCAAATGGTAGCAATTTTGTTTCTTGATGTGCACAAAAATATTTCAAAATATTTATTCAATTATTATTTATTTACAAATTGTTGGTAACGTAGCGTTTATGCATTTTTTCTGAACATACAAAGAAACAAACATATTGTCATCAAACACCAATGGCCTATAAATCTACTCAATGTAAGAAAGTTGCTTAAAACAATTTCCTGAAATGGGACATAAAGAAGCGCCGCAATGCGATGAAAACCAGGTTTTCAACTACCAAGCATAGATGGGACAGCAATCAATAGGTAAACGTGCACTGAAGTTATTGAGTAGAAGCTGTAAATTCTATTGTTAGCAAAGGGCCTCAACCTTGCTCCAAGATATCTAAGTGGCAATCCAAAGCTGCCACATAGCAAGTTTAGTGACAAAAGGTCAAAGCAAACTCCAGGTATTATGTGAAAACTGAATACATAAACCTGGGTAGCAATCCAAAGCTGCCTCTTGATATAAACTATCCATACATCAAGTTTGGTGTCAATTGGACAAAGCTAACTCAAGTTATTGAGCAGAAACTGAATTTCTATTTTTAGTAACAGTGACCTTGACCTTGATCGCAGACACCTGGGTAGCAATCCCAAGCTGTTTCTTGATATAAGCTTTTGATACACCAAGTTTGATGTCAATATGCCAAAGCAAACTTAAGTTATTGAGCAAAAACCATAAGTTGCTGCCCGCCTGACTGCCTGCCCGCTCGCGACATTACATTACAATAACCCAGTTTTCATTGAAAAGCTGGTCAAACATGTAGCCCTTCTCTGTTTATAAAGTTTTAAACATGATACAAAAGTGGTTTTAAAAATAGTAAATTCAGTCATTTTATGTTAATTCTTACACACCTTGTGACCATTCATACATTTTTATATTTCTTAATTCATTTTTATCCTTCTAAACTTTGTTATCTCACCATAAAGTTTATAAACTTATTTGCGTCAATTTGAGGTCAGCTGCTATAAGATAGATGTTGTGACCCTGGCATATATTACAGTATCATACGAGTAATTGCACATGCACAATTTATCTTAACACAATACAAATAGAAATCACCAAATACCTATTAGGACACATCCTAGGTAACAAAATGGGGAAAAACTTGTGCCTGGTTTGATCTGACGGTAAACTCTGAAGGAACTTCCTGGTTGCCAGATGATGCAAGTCTTACCTAGTCAAGAAAAAAAACAAATCATTTCCATGCCAAATGAAGTGTAACCCTTTTCCTGATAGTTTATCATAGGGACTTGCCCTCCTTTGTAACCCTTTTCCTGATAGTTTATCACAGGGACTTGCCCTCTTTGTAAATTGGAACTATCTAGTACACAATAAACAATTTTCCTGTTAGTTTATCACAGGGACTTGCCCTCCTTGGAAATTGGAACTATCTAGTACACAATAAACAATTTTCCTGTCATGCAGGAATGTGAAAATAAAGCAGAAAATGAGCAAATGTAAAGCCAAATTGTGAAAGTATGTGGATGAGGCAACATGGTAAGGAAACATACAATATATCTTAAAGTATATATTTCAACTTTACTTTTGCATCATTGTTGCATTATTCTGATATTACTAATTGACAGGATATACAAAGAGTGGTATAACTGTAAAGATCTAGAAATCATAGAAATAATAAATTGAGCATCTAACTGTAAGGACTTTGATCATAATGAAATGACGTACAAGCTAGCCTAGATCTATGTTAGCAGTGTAAACTAACTAAGTCACTGTGAGCATACAAAGCATCAACACTGATCATGTTCTTTAACCAACATGTATGTTATATGCTGCACAAGATGCTTCAATATAAAAAAATGTGCATGTCAAGTTTTTTCTATAATCGAAAGACTTGAAAATGTAATTTCAAAATGTATTCTCGTATCTTTGTGCATAGGTCATAATCAAAATGCTTGTTTGCTCTAGCAATGAGTCAAAACAAAAATTTAGCAGATGCTATTCCTTCCACGTCTCACTTTCAAAGGTCATCATTTGTAATGAAATCATTTGTAAAGACTTAATTTAAGTATGATGCAATTTGCATATATACATAGCATACCTGGCTTCAATTATCTGCCAGTCCTCTACCAAGATAATCTACAAACTGATGCCCATACCTCAATATAGCATTATCTTCATCCAGCAGGGGCAAATCTGAGCCTGTCCAACAAATAGATAACATTATATTATAACAAGAGCTGTCACAGGAGACAGCGAAGCTCAACTAATATAATACTGGATGCAGTAAGGAAGACTATGAAAAAAATCAATTATGTATAATTATGTATTAAGTTTTAGTAAAAAAATAACATTTGTTAACATAAATTCCAAGTTCAAGGGGGAATAATTATGGAAATAGAGTTATGAACCTTGTCACACAACATGTGTGTAATGATAAGAAATATATATTTGAAGTTTAAAGTAGATACCTTAAAAAGTAAAGAAGTTATAATATTTCTTTAAAAAAAATCCAAAGTACAAGTGGAGATAAATCTGAAAATATTGCTTGAAGAGTTATGAACATTGTCAAATAAAATGTAATTGATGATAAGGAATAAGTATTTGAAGTTTGAGGTAGATACCTTTAAAACTAAAGAAGTTATAGAAAAAAATAACATTTTTCTAGTAAAAAAGTCTAAGTTTATGGGGGTATTATTCTTGCAATATTGGTGCTAGAGTTATGAACCTTGTCACATAACATGTGGTTAATGATAAGGTACATATATTTGAAGTATGAAGTTTATCCCTTAAGAAATATAGAAGTAACAGTAAAAAATAATATTTTTTAAGGAAAAATCTAAGTTCAAGGGGAGATAAATCTGAAAATATTGGTTCTAGAGTTATGAACCTTGTCACATAAGATGGGGGTGATGATAAGGTACATATATTTGAAGTATGAAGTTTATTCCTTAAGAAATAATGAAGTAACAGTAAAAAATAGTATTTTTTAAGGAAAATTCTAAGTTTAAGGGGAGATAAATCTGAAAATATTGGTTCTAGAGTTATGAACCTTATCACATAAGATGTGGTTGATGATAAGGAACATATAATTGAAGTTGATACCTTAAGAAATGACAAAGTTATAGTGAAAAATATTTTACTGCACAAAACTTTTATCTGAAATCTGGACGCTGACGCCAACACCACCGCTGACGCCGGGGCGAGTAGAACAGCTTTCCATATACTTCGTATATTCGAGCTAAAAATAAAAGCCTCTTTACTTAAGAAAATCAAATACTTCTGTTACAGATTAAAAAATTATACATCTACAATTTTCACCGTTAGTGTATTGTACAAGAATGGTAAGGCTAACCTGAAGATTTTCCATTTTTCAGTGAGTTTTTACTATTCTTTACTATCAATGCTGACTTGTCTGTCTATTAAATGTATTTAAATCTTCTTTAATGTTTTAACCTCTAGCTGTCTCTGAATAATTTCTTTCTTGATATCATCACATGCTTGTTGTAACTCTTTGATTTCCTTCTTGATTTCCTGAAATACCACAAACATTATATTACTAAACAAGAGGGCCATGATGGCCCTAGATCGCTCACCTGAATTATCAAACTCATCCAAACAATTACCTAGACAAGCATTCTGACCAAGTCTCATGACAGGTGAGTCAAAAATGTGACCACTACAGTGTTAACAAGGATTATCCATATTTGAGCAGTGCGACCTAGTTTTTTACCCAGGTGACACATATTCAAACTTGACCTAGAAATCATCAAAACAAACTTTCAGACCAATTTCCAGGATACTTGGATCAAAACAGTAGCAACTAGAGTGTTAACAAGATTTTTCTATTTTTAGCTCTGGTGACCTAGTTTCACATGCGATTTCGAACTCATCCAAGCAATTACCTAGACAAGCATTCTGACCAAGTTTGATGATAATGGAGTCGAAAATGTGACCACTAGAATGTTAACAAGGTTTTTCCATATTTGGGCGGTGTGACCTAGTTTTTCATCCAAGATGACCCATGTTCGATCTTGACTTAGAAATCATCAAAACAAACTTTCAGACCAATTAACAGAATATTTGGATCACAACAGTAGCCACTAGAGTGTTAACAAGATTTTTCTATTTTTAGCTCCTGTGACCTAGTTTTTCATCCGAGATGTCCCATGTTCGATTTATTCCCAGCAATGACCTAGACAAGTTTCCTGACCAAGTTTGATGACAATTGAGTCAAAATTGTGACCACTAGAGTGTTAACAAGGTTTTTTCTATTTTTAGCTCCTGTGACCTAGTTTTTTCATCCGAGATGACCCATGTTCGAACTCATCCGAGGTTATTACCTAGACAAGCATCTTGATCAAGTTTGATGATGATTGATGCAAAATGTGACCGCTAAAGTGTTAACAAGGTTTTTCTATTTTTAGCTCCGGTGACCTACTTTTTCATGCGAGATGACCCATGTTCGAACTCATCCAAGCTATCAACTAGATAAGCATCCTGACCAAGTTTGATGATGATTGATGCAAAAATGTGACCGCTAGAGTGTTAACAAGGTTTTTCTATTTATAGCTCCGGTGACCTAGTTTTTCATCCGAGATGACCCATATTCGAACTCATCCGAGCTATTATCTAAACAAGCATCCTGACAAAGTTGATGATGATTGGGTCAAAAATGTGACCACTAGAGTGGTCACAAGGTTTTTTCTATTTTTAGCTCCTGTGACCTAGTTTTTCATCAGAGATGACCCATGTTCGAACTCATCCAAGCAATTGACTAGACAAGCATTCTGACCAAGTTTTGATGATGATTGGTTCAAAAATGTGACCACTAGAGTGTTCACAAGGTTTTTCTATTTATAGCTCCTGTGACCTACTTTTTCATCCGAGATGACCCATGTTCGAACTCATCCGAGCTATCACCTAGACAAACATCCTGACCAAGTTTGATGAAGATTGGGTCAAAAATGTGACCTCTAGAGTGTTCACAAGGTTTTTCTATTTTTAGCTCTTGTGACCTAGTTTTTCATCTGAGATGACCCATGTTCGAACTCATCCGAGCTTTCAACTAGATAAGCATCCTGACCAAGTTTGATGATGATTGAGGCAAAAATGCGACCGCTAGAGTGTTCACAAGCAATTGTGGACGGCCGGACGGACGACGGACATTCATCGATCCTAAAAGCTCACCCTGAGCAAGCTCAGGTGAGCTAAAAATTACAAAAGTACAAACTGCTAAATTTATACAATGGACCAGTCTTCTTTAAATTTCAATTTGGAATACTATTTAATAGTATATAATTACTTAGATGGAATTTTATTACAAAAACAACAACCCTTCAAATGTTTTGAAGATACCAACATGCACATTACAATTTAACCCAAGTGTGACAGCCACACCAAGATAGATGCCGGCACCTGGGTGAGCACAATTGCTCAAGTTAAGTCAATAGACAAGCTAAAAATAAATATAACTATTTCAAAGAATTCCTGAAAACAATACAAATGTGTTGTAAAATTGCATTACTTCATATTGTCACATATCAAATGAGTATTTGCTTGGAGCCAATGATTAAACGTCTTACCAGCTTTTGGCATTCTAGAGAACTATCTTTCCATTAATTTCTTCTCCTCTGTAGAGTTATAATATATCAAAATTATTACATTTTAAAGGAGTCAAAATAACAAAACAACAATAAAGAATTACAAATACATGTGAGAGAAAATTAGAAATGATTATGGATGCTAACAAATAAATGTTAAAAAAAAAGACAATAACACAAAGAAAACAAGAGCACCGTTAGGCGGAGCATTATATGCCCGGAAGTGATTTTCTTTTTTTAGTAAGGATGAAGCATTTGTAAGACACTGGAATTAAATAAAGTATTACCTCTTTCAAATAACAATCCTCCAAGGAAGTTTGAATATTGTGGGCCAAATGGAACTTAAGTTATGCTCTGGAAACTGTTTTTCAGTTTAAAGGTAATAGTAAACTTGACCTTTGATCTTGTGATCCCAAAATCAATAGGGGTCTTCTACCCGATATGCACAATCATCCCATGAAGTTTTAACACTGTTGGCCAAATGGAACGGAAACTGTTTTCAGATTTAAGGTAATAATGTAAAGTAACCTTGACCTTTGACCTTGTGACCCAAAAATCAATATGGGTCTTCAACTCAATATGGATAATCATCTTATGTAGTTTGAATATTTTGGGCCAAATGGAACTTAAGTTATGCTCCGGAAACCGAATTGCTACCGGACGGATGGACATTCTAACAGTAGAGTAATAATGTGGCTACTCTCTTGTTCTCTCTATTGTTCTTTTTAGCCAAACAAAAGAAAACAGCCACATAAAAGCATTACAGAATAAATGACATCAAAGAGAAAGAACAGTTACCTATTGTCTATTTGATATTCTAGCTCGTACTGCCTTTCTTGTGCTTGTTTCAAGTCATTGTTATACTTTAACAGTTGTTGTCTCATCTTTGAAACCTCTGTGTTTGAACCATTGGTAAAATTATCAGCTTTCTCTAACTCTATACATTGACGATCAAGTTCAGCAGAACATTTTTTTGCCTGAGACAGCAAACAAGTCTCATTCTCCCGGGTACTGAAAAAATAAGGCATCGAAATCAGTATTATACATTAAACATTTATTCTTTGAAAATCATATCACATTCAGTTTAAAGATAAATTCAGTATCAAGATTGCTGAAATTTAATTCATTTCATTGTTTATATGAAGAAGAAATTCAAAAATGTAATATTGAAATGGATTTAACGGATGATAATTTCATATCTTACAGTCAATCTCTGGGTAAACAATTTTTTTCAAATTAAGGTAACAAAACAATTAATGCAATTTTTCTGTATAGACGGTTAAAATAAAACATGTTACATATTAATAGCTGTTTGTTTATGGAAAAAATAATTTACAATTTGTACATTGTAGATCATCTGCTAAAATGCATGTTCAGAAACAGCAAAAGTGTGACAAATTAATTTAGTTACTTACTTACTTTTTAAGTATTTCATGTAAAAACTCTGTTTACTTTGCTTTCAAATGGCAATTTTGGTACCAGTCAGCTTTCCTTCATGAAATAACTGAAATATTCCAGTATGTTATAAATATTCTTTTCCTTAGCAACTCACTTGATACTTGGTAACTTGGCCTGTCTAATGTAATAATCATTTTAAACCAATCTGACCATTTAAGAAAAAGCATTGTCCCCAGCTAATAATCAATTTTCATTAACAGTGTTGAGTGAGCACATTTATATTCACATAAGTTTATTTCAATTTTGCAGCAATATATCTATCTCTTCAACGTTTCAATTAATAAACAAGAGTCATACAGAATTATTATTGAAAGAACATTACCATTACAGACAAACTATTGTAAAAAGTCAAAATGATAAAGATAACATACAGAATATATCTTAATTGAGGTCAAAATCTCATTTTTCCACAAAGTTTTTCAATAAACACATATATAGAAACTTCAAGAAAAGTCATTTTAGTGTGATTTGAGTACATAAGATCATTTTAATATTGTTGTCATTATTTTGCCTGAATATTCCTTTAATGGGGTCTTTTTCATAGTCATTTGCAAAACTATACACATAAGGAAAATCAATGACCCCTGGGGCGGGCCAATTTTAACCCCAGGGCCCTTATTTGAAATTGGATTGAACATACTTGGTAGACACCAATTAGAAGATGTTTCATGCTAAATATCTTAGCTCTAGCTCTTTGGGATTTTTCAAAGAAGACTTTTTAAGTTTTTACTATATACATAAAGGGAAAAACAAAGACTCCCCTCATAAAGGGAAAAACAAAGACTCCCCTGGGGCGGGGCCAATTTTGACCCCAGGGCTTTTATTTGAACAAACTTGGTAGACTTTGACTAGATGATGTTTCATACCATATATTTTAGCTCTAGCTCTTTCTGTTTTTTTAAAGAAGATTTTTAAGTGTTTTCTTGGGGTTCCTATGGCAACCAGAGTTCTGCATGGAACTAAATTCTTTGAAAAGATTTTAAAGTTCACTACCAAAGGTACATTCCTGTGAAGTTTGGATGAAATTGGCTTAGCAGTTTATGAGGAGATGTCGATTAAAGTAAAAGTTTACGGACGGACGCCGGACGCCGGACGAAAAGCGATCACAAAAGCTCACCATGTCACTTTGTGGCAGGTAAGCAGCACTGAACTTTTCATTATAAATTAAGTAATGCTTCTTAATTACAGCTGCTACAAGGAAAAACATATACATGTATAATATATGACTTACATATTAAAGGGACTCCCCTGAGGTTTTTTTGACATGATGGGACTGGAAATATTTTTTTGAGATTAATACTCCATTTGATGTAGATCTAAACTAATAACTTATGTGCAAAATTTCAGATCATTAGCTTGCTCCGTTTTTCTAGAATAATTATTATAATAGTGAAAAATGACCCAAAATTGAAAAGCGTTGAAACGCTTTTCATTCGAATTGAACTGAGAATTAGCACAAACATGATTTTCAATGTATTTCTTGTGTATTTCTTGGTTATATTTTATTAATATTTCTGTTTCAAGTGCTCATGTTTATCTATGTGAAGAAATAAAATTTTATGTTTTTAAGCTTATAAACCTAAGTGGAGTTCCTTTAAATGATAGCAATAGTACCTGACAGAAATTTACTGTAAATAAACAGCTTTTGTTTAAGTTATGAATCTACTTTTATACTGATAAATTTATTTCAGTTATGAAAAACTCTGTTAATCTTTCTTAAAACATGAAAACTGTATCCACTTCCTTGAAATTATATATTGTAACTTAAACACTAAATACATCAATTTAATAAAAAAGTTTTAGAAAATTTCTTAAAATTGAAACAAAAACATTGTTGAAGATCATTTTAAGCATTGAATTATTAAAGATAACGTTTAACGGCCACACTTTAATTGCTGCAAAGTTATCACAATTTAAACACATTTCAATAATTTGAATTATTCAACATACCAGTTTGTCATCTGATGCACAGCTACAGATAAGTTTTTGAGAGTATTTTACTCCAATTTTGTTTTGTTTGGCAGAAAGGGCTAGGTACTTTTTGGGTTGGCCCATCGGCAAAAAATATTCAAAACTTGATATATCAAAATTAAGCTATATTTCTAACAAACAATGCAAGATTGAGTCAGATATCTGTTTAGACAAAAAAGTTATAATAAATCAAAACAACCTATCAAAAATACAAAATACTTCAGTTTGACGTCATCAACGTCACGTATTATTTTGAGCGCATTGTTTCGGGTAATTAAAAACATAATGACGCATATGTATCTTTTAAATTGTTCATCGTGTAATGCAAAGGAGTTAATGATACATTTGATGTACATTTCTACGATCAACTACAATTGCAGACATAAATAATGAGTCACTGTGAAGTATATTAAAACAGACGAAAAGGAATACATACACGATAGCTTTTATTTATATAATTTACTTACGCTATTAAAGAAGTGTGTTCAGTAACTGCTGTTTTATAAAATACACAATTATTTTAACAAGTTCATAGTTAAATTTTCGGCCCTGAACCTTCTTCGGTTTAAAAGGGCTAACCAACAAAATCTATTAGAAATTTGACATACGATGAGGCACATATTCGTAATATTACCGCTATGACAATATTTTTTTATTCAGTGGTTTTATGTAATTACCTATTTAGTAAAGTTAAGAACTTATATGTATGCATGTGTTTGATTATCATCATCAGCAGAATCATTATTATTATATATTATTATTATATGATATTGATCTTTCACATAATGCCTAGGTTACTCGACCTACCAGAATCGGCCGAATTACCGGAATCAGTGGGGACTTTATTGGAATCGACCTGTTTTTTGTTATTAATGAACTTTTAAAGAATGTTCTTGCATTTTTATAAGATATAACCATTATCAATGATATGTCAAAAGATTTTTGTAAATAAAATCACTTTTGATTAAACAATAAATCTAAGATCGAAGAGTTACTGCCATACTGACGGATTCGTCGAGAACCTGTAATTTTGTTATTAATGAACTTTTAAAGAATGTTCTTGCATTTTTATAAGATATAAACATTATCAATGATATGTCAAAAGATTTTTGTAAATAAAATCACTTTTGATTAAACAATAAATCTAAGATCGGAGAGTTACTGCCATACTGCCAGATTCGTCGAGGGCCTGTGATTTGGTTATATATTATTTATGCATTTTAATAATATTTAATATGCCTGTTTTTATAAATTAAACTTAAAAGTTATGATTGACCTCCAAAAAAGAAATGTGAGAAGAAAATCGGTTTAATTAACAGTGAAAACATATTTAAACGGCAAAAACGGGAAAACTGCCGGAATCGGCGTATGATTACCGAAATCGGCCTGTATTTTGCTTATTTATGAACTTTTAACCAATTTTCTTGCATCTTTAATTAAATATAAAACAATATCAATGATATGTAAAAAGATTTTTGTAAATTAATTCACTATTGATAAATAAAACAAGATATTTAATAACGGCAAGTTACGCCATACTGTGGGAATCGGCGAAGGATTACCGGAATCGGCCTATAATTTGGTATTTTTTGGACTTTTTAACGTTTCTTTCGCATCTTTTTATTAAATATAAACATTATCTATCATACTCAAAATAAGAATTTTGCAATTCGCTTTTGATAAATAAATCAATCGAGTTACTGTCATACTGCTGAAATAGTAGAATGATTAGCCTCCCTTGAATTCCTGCCAAAATGTCTGGAGACCACCTTGTAAAACCATGTACGTGTTAGATTTTATATTGATTTATTTATGTTTATGTACTAGGTATATAGATTTTGCCATGTCTTTAATATTCCACAGCATGCAAAACAGCAACAAATAATTTTGAATCTTCAAAAACTTAGGTCTTGAATACAGGATATTTTCGTGTTTCATATGATGTTTGTCGGCGATCACCGCGGAGAATTTACTTTTATTAATTTAAGATGACGTTTAAAAAACTTAATTAAATAAAAAAATGAAATAAATAAAAAATAATTCAATGGAAAAAGAAGAAAAACATAAACAAATGTACACACACATAAAGTCGGCAGTGTTAAGTCGAAGTTTTTATTGGTATCGTTCAAAAACAGATCATCATTATAATACGATGATGCAGAGGCTAAAATGTTTATACTCAAATACAAAAATAACATGTAACGAGATTTAGTACAAGATGTTTTTTCTGTTACGTTTTTTTTTTCTTTTGCAAGGTATATATGCACGGATAATTTAAACTGCCTTAGTCATTAAAATTAGTAATTTGTTTTCTGATAAAATATTTTCAACTTGCTAAGAATACTGTTTTAATTGAAGAATATAGGAAAAGGCGGTGATCAATCAACATAAACTTTGTTCCGGATTACTTACACTAGTATTTATGTTTTCTGTTAAAGGATAATACCACATATTCATTGTCAGACTTTGAATATTCAGATTTCATATCTAACAACACAAAGCACAGAATAGGTTTGAATTCCTTTTATGATGTAAAGAATATACATGAACATATAAAAACAGTGCATAAAAAATCCTAGGCTTTTCAATGACATATACCATTGGTGCAACAGTACTGTAATATAAATTTATTAATAATAAATTTGCATAGCAGTATACAAAATACTCCCGACCAATTTCTTATTTTCAGTTTTGTTTCAACACAAGTTATGACTAGTAAAATATAGGTACAATTGCCGACAAAAAGCTTTTACAGCTATTTCGATAACATACATTTTCATTTTATCAAACACACATGCATGCCATAATTTCAAGACTGATTTCCGGGACACTTTAAAAATGTTTCTAAAATTAACATATCAGTATGTTGTAACTTTATGATACAGTAAATCATGCACTGTGGTAGCGTAAGGTATTCAGCGTACCTGTTTTTATACCTGACCAATGCCTCTGACAAAAGAAAGAAAAAAAAATATTAGAAGTGACTTATAAAGATGTTGAAGCCAGAGAGACTCGTATGTTAAAAATAATGTACAAAATTGCGACACTTCCAAGATAATTGCAAGCATACAAACATTTGAAGAACTTGTAAAATTATTTCAATACAAATGTATAAAACAAAAGCACAACTAATGACCTATATTCAGAATTTTTTGACAAGATTTAATTTCACACCACCCTTCTAAATAAACTGATTCTAGAGACAAGTGATTGAGCAGTGCTAGAGATCATTTGGTGCGCTAAAAGTGTCAATCATCATTTAAGGGCAGTTTTATCAAGACTTCAAAAGACTTTGCCGACGTGCGTACGTGACAAACTGCTAGGAAAATGGAGGCGGAGTCATTTATGCAGTTGTTGACACACTTGCCCAGCACAGCAGCAGTGTTACAATATTTTAATTGACGAGAAAGGTCACACATATTTATCAATCAGTGGATTAGTGTCAACAATTCTTGTGTATTACTAAAATGGCCGGGGAAAATCTATCTGATATAAACATCTTGTAATAATTAAATAATATAATTATATAAATGTTATTGCATATTATTGGAATTGTTCACTAAAGAGAAATACTTTATGTTATTTAAATGTACAGTGATATTTATCTCTTCACTAATTGAAGTACTGGAGCCTCTCCTTCTACCAATATATACTCGATTACGCCCCTTTCCAATCCGTCGCCATTTGCCAGTATGTTAACAGCAGACTGACGGAGTGTAAAATTTGGGTAATTAACAGAAGTGCGCAAGTAGTAACCACAAAATAGTAGGTGATAATTTAAAGCTAATATTTTATGGGAATATAAAATGTAAAAACCTAAGCGGTTAAAAAGTGCGTAAACCTAATATTTGTAGAATCACACCAAAATTTACCCATTTTTACGAATTTTGCCCGAAATAGAGGAAAACTGATCATCTGTGACGTCATCTACGTTGCCGCGATACAAAGGAACGTCTGTTTTTATTTGCATATATGTTGCTTTGTCAACTGACATTAAATGACTCATTTATATTCAATATTTTATTTCCTCAAAATTTTGGGCCAAAATCGACCCAAAACGTACCTAGCCCTTTGTTGATGGATAATGTCAAATCATGAAATGAAATAAACAAAATTGCCTGTCCAACATTATCACAACTTGAAACCTGAAAGCCCTGCAAATTATCCTATTAGATAAATATTTGAATATTGTTTACTGGGTTCAAAACAGACAACATGCTATTTCTAATGTCTGGACAGATAAGAATTCTTATCAACAGTTAATAAATTCAATTAATGTCTCCTGTTATTTAAATGTGATAAATTCTTACCTGTACTTTCTTCACATTTCATAATAACATGGATTATAAAATCTGTCTGAATAGTTGGTCAAGGGATCAAAATATGAGTTGTCTCCCTTCCACTGATTATATATGTAACTTCTCAATCCTGAAGTCAAGAAATAGACTACGTAGACATATTTGTTACATATTTTTTATACTTTTGATATAATCTTGTAAGGGATTTGTTTCATGTAACATTTTTAATGATAAAATAAAAGGAAGAGTTGTAATTATATATTAAAGGGATCACTGAGGTTTTTTGATATGATGGGACTGAACAAATTTTTTCCATATAAATGTACCATTTGATGTAGGTTTAGACCTCTAATCTTTGTGCAAAATTTCAGATCATTCGCGCACTTCGTTTTTCCAGAATAATTATTCACATTGTAAATAAATGACCCAAAATGAAAAGCGTTTAAACGCTTTTCACTCAAATCAGACTAAGAAAAGCATATTAATACGATTTTCAATTATTTCAAAGTATATTTCTTAACTATCTTTGCATATATTTCTGTCTAAAGTGCCCCAGCTCATTTATGTACGAAATTCAAAAGTTATGTTTTTACTAGTATCAAATTTATATATTCACAAATTATTTATAACTGTTCTAAACTAAGAATAACTGAATTTTATGTTAATTTAACTAACTTTCACATGAGTTTCTACAGCAATGAAAGACTGATTTCTTCAATAAAAAATAAATTCTTTGAATACAAATCACTTTATACAAATTTAAACATCTACCTTACTTTTTTAGCCACTTACTGGGCCAGCTGGTCAAAAAATCAAAATTTAAGTTGCCTCCCTTGCACTGTAAATAAATATACAAACTAATTTTGTAAATATAAGTTTTTTGTAAAAGAAAAACAAAAACCAAAAAACAATGCTCCACAATAACAACATGACTATATAAACTATATATGTTGCAACTTTATTTTATCCGTAAAAAATAAAATACATGTACATGTGTATAGTAACTATGAAGTTTAAATAAAGTTGTGTGTGACTTTACAAACTTGCAATAAATTGTGTGCAATTCATTGACTTTACACTTAAAAAAAATGGACAGAAATAACAAAACTTTTAAATAGTTCATATTGTGAAGTCAATCTACACATTTCAGTATTCATGTTTTAGTCTAATTATTACATACTTACACGGGGCGTCCATAGCCAAGTGGTTAAGGTCGTTGTGGGTTCGAATCCTGACAATGACTGGATTCTTTCATGTGAGAAAGCTATCCAGACCTAGCTAACGGAACTTGGGTGGTTCTACTCAGGTGCCTGTTCGTGCCTGAATTAATGCACTGAAGGGCACCTGAGGTCTTCCTCCACCAGTAAAGCTGGACAGTCACCAAATGACCTATACTGTGTTGGTGTGACGTAAAACTCAATCAAACAAACAAACATACTTACATGAACAAGCATACTTAACTAAAGTAGGTTTTTGTAAGCTAAAGTCAGTAGCTATACCAGTATCTTGGAATAAAACTTAATGCCCCTGGTGAACTAAAAAGCCTGTAGACATAAATAAAATTAAACCAACACTTACCATATGCCTGTCACAATTTTACTTTTCTGTTTTGTTTCGTAGGCTCTTGTACATGATTTTCTTGTTGCTCTGCTTTCCTTAAAACAACATGGATTTTCCATTTCTGGCTGTTAAGTTTAAGAATCCAATTATCTGGAGGTATGAAGACATCAGAAACCCAGCCTGAAATAATTAAAGTCCAATAGCATAAAAAATTATACCTATGATGAAACTCCCAACATGCCATATAATAAAGTTCTATGCTTATTTTGGTCAACTAATAGTCAATCCTCCTGAGCCCATGATGTAACTGAATGAGAAGTTATAAAACAGAATAAAATAATCACCCATATTTTGAAAAATTTCTCTTACTTTACTGTAAAAAAATGTTAATTTTGTTAACTCTTTGTGTGGAGAGAATGTTTGATTTTACAACTTACAGTAAACTCCACTTACAACAATATCCCTGATAATATAATGTTGTTTTGTTGTCCTACTCTCGACTTTTGGCCTATCAGATATACTTATATCCAGATATAATTATATAAATTCGGAGGTCCCCTCAATATCATTATAATAGACAAAAGCAACCATTTTTTTGGATATATATTTATTGCAAATAACTCATGTTAAAATAGTTAATTAATTTTTTATTGTAACAATCTTCTTCTGATGGATAGACAGATCAGTTCATGAACAAGAGCAACTTTTAACAGTCATGTTTTGTCATTGTATTTTACGTCACGGTTCACAACTGTTCACTATTTAGGGGAAAATTGCGAGAAAGCTCAGTTGGAAGAGCCAGGGAACAGTATTCTGAGGGTCTCAGGTTCGAGTCCCGTTCAGGCTGCACATTTTTCTCATCCTGTGACATGATTTAAATTTGTCCACAAGTTACTGCAAGTAAAGTAAAATTTAAAAACTTTACCATAACAGTCAAGGTCACATTGAGCTCAAATTTGAAGTTTTCAACATGCCAGTGTTTTGCAATAAGTTTTAAACTTAACAATTTAAGCAAAATTCAATATGACGTTGACGGTCAAGGTCATTTAAGGTCAAGGTTTTTTTCTAAAAGATTTTTTTGGTTGCGATTTACGCCAGGGCCGGCAAAATCTGATTTAGACTTACTTGCCTGTTTTTATGTGAATCATTATTTAACTTGTCTGTATGATATTTAAATAGTCAATTCTTGAAAATTTTCATTTGTCCGTACAGGCTGAGAGACAACTGGACAATATGGGCAATTGATTTTGCCAGCCCTGTACATCATATGAGCTATAGATCAATCCTATAGTTTCAGAGCTATCACTAAAGGTGATCCACCAGCAGGTGCGTCCGTGGCCGAGTGGTTAAGGTCGTTGACTTCAAACCACTTGCCCCTTACCACTGTGGGTTCGAATCCCTACTTGGACTTTGAATTCTTTCATGTGAGGAAGCTATCCAGCTAGCTTAAAGAACGTCGGTGGTTATACTCAGGTGCCCGTTCGTGCCTGAAATAATGCAGGATCAAACAAACAAAAATCTAATTCTTATTATCAGATTAGTGGATGCAATAACAATTTAATCACTACCTAAGGCTATCTGTTAAGAAAAGAGCACTTGTCAATGTTTGTGGTTAAATCTATTGTTATTTAAATAAAAGTCAGAGCAGGGATCTATCATTATGGTCTTAAGCATAACTTGAACTCAACCTATAATGTTTTTACAGTATACAAAATTAATAATTATTACAATTAATTGCCCATCTTCCAGAAAGCATTTTTCTTTTCTTTAGTGACAATGACCATGACCCAACAACAATCCCAAGCTAGGTCTCTACATAAGCTTACTGTAACAATATCTCATTCCTAGCAACTTTAATTGTCTACAAAAGATTTTTAAGTAACAGTGAGCTTGATCCAAAGGGGGTCCAAAAGCAATCCCAATTGGGGTTTCTTATAAGATTGCTTCATAATAAATTTATTTGATCATAATATCTTATTTTATATCTATTATTGCCCAGAAATCATTAATTTTTAGTAACAGTGATCCTTGACCCCATGGGGTGCAAAAACAATTTCAATTGAGGTTTCCAAATACTGTGTTTGATTACAATATCTCTGATTAAAAACTCATTATTATACAGAAACCATTTTCTATTTTTAGTAAAAGTGACACTGACCTTGATCCAAACACAATCAGAAGCGAGGTCTTCATATAAGGTTGTTACATACGAATTTATAACAATATCTCATTCAAAACTATAGTTATCGTCCGATAACTAGTGAGAAAGATTGAGGGATAAATGGTCCAACTCACAAGCTGACTACTATATTCTCCACTAAATTTTGTTTGTGGGGGTATAAAAATCATTGACTCTGACATAATTCATTAAATTGGAAAATGCTAATATTATGCACAATATGACCTGGTATTGATCATTCCTGTAAAGTTTGGATGAAATTGTACCAGTAGTTTTTGAGTAGTAGTCCGCAAAAGTTTTGTGATGGACAGATGGATAAACGGACAGACAGATGACAGAGAATTGATCCCTATATGTCGTCACTACTATATATAGGCAATACAATCAAGACGGCCAAGATGGCCCTAGATTGCTCACCTGACACATCAAACTAGGCAGTTAATTAGACAAGCATCTTGACCAAGTTTGATGACAATTGAATCAAAACAGTAGCCACCAGAGTGTTAACAATATTTTTCTATTTTTAGCTCCTGTGACCTTGTTTTTCATCCGAAAAGACCCATGTTCATACTCATCTGAGCAATTACCTAGACAAGCATCCTGCCAAAGTTTGATGATGATTGAGGCAAAATGTGACCACAAGAGTGTTAACAAACAAATGTGGACAGAAGACGGACGGCAGACAACAGACATTCAACAATCCTAAAAGCTGAACCTGTCAGCTAGCTCAGGTGAGCTAAAAAGTCATGACAATTAAAACAAAATTTGCAGTTTTGACCTTTAGTACCAAATCCAAATAAAAAGGTAAAGGTCAAATTCATAAATCTTATCCAAGTATGAAGACAATCCCTTTAGTATTCATAAAATAATGTTCAATGTGTAGTGTATGTACTGCACGGCAACAACAACACAACTGTAGCAATAGTGCAAATTTTTTCTTTAAAAAAAAGTGACGCTTGTACAAATCAAAAAGGATTTTAAATTAATTTTTTAATTTTTATTAAAGTTCTGATTCAGTGTAATTTTAATTAAGAATTAAGAACTACTAACATTTACTTCCTTTGGGGTTCTTAATTGTTAAAAGTGTACTCACTGGACACTTACATGTACTTACAGTGCCAACATAATAATTATTTCAACAAAGGCTGCCTTTTGAATGACATTCTTTTCCTATTTTCATCCAAGACTGTAAGTGTTCACTGGTCATCAGATTGTCTCCACTTTGTGCTTTACCCAACATGTATATGCAAGTATAATTCACCCTTGTGGCAGCCTCACTCAGTGGTCAAAGAATCCAAAATAAGGTTGTCTCCCTTGCATTGTTAAGGAACCTTTTCACTATGAAAAGAAATTATGTAGTATATGTAACACATAATGCATAACATTGGTAATAAATATTTGTGTTAAAAGAATCCATCAATAAATGATGAAGTGCACTTATCCTTTGAGGCTTAATAAGTTATGATACTAAATAACCTCAAGGGTGGGGGCGTTTATTTAGGGTGGGGGCATGATTCATAAAACATTTATAGAGGTTTACTAGGCAATGATATGTGCCACATATAGAAGCTCTGGGTATTGTTGTTAACCACAAAAAGATGTGTTTTTCTACATAAAGGAAGTGACTGCCAAGGAAGGACCAATTTTACCGAAGGGTCATTTTTAACTTTTGTAGAAATCTACAATCGAACAGTTGCTACATGCCAAATATTGCTTGTCGACCACAGGGGGGTGGCGAGAAAGCGAAACAAAGTTTTTGTGCTATAATAGAGCATAATACATCCAGGGGTCTCGTACTCTCAAAAAACTAGAAATGTGTCCATAGGACACGGATGCCCCCACATGCCACTGTTATGTCAATCTTATGACTCTAGGTCAAATATATTTTGGACTACAAGTGCCTCAAGTTAAAAACTAAAAATAAACAAAGGGCCATAATTCTGTTAAATTTGGTCGCAACAAAAATTCCTTTCTTTACTACCATCTACAAATTAAGGTTGTTCATCTCTGGAAGTTTAAGCAAAATCTGCCATCCGGTTTAAGAGGAGTTGCGTTCACAAAATTTCTACATAGTATATTGTGAAAAAATCAACAAAGGGCCATTATTCTGTTAAATTTGGTCGCAGCAAAAATTCCTTCCTTAACTACCATCTACACATTAATGTTGCTCATCCCTTGAAGTTTAAACAAAATCTGCCATCCGGTTTAAGAGGAGTTGCGTTCACAAAATTTCTATATGGTATATAGTGAAAAAATCAACAAAGGGCTATAATTCTGTTAAATTTGGTCGCAGCAAAATTCCTTCCTTTACTACCATCTACACATTAAGGTTGTTCATCCCTGTAAGTTTAAGCAAAATCTGCCATCTGGTTTAAGAGGAGTTGTGTTCACAAGATTTTGGGACGTACGGAGGACGTTCTCACTGGACAGTAATTATGTGGCTACTCTATTGTTCTCTCTATTGTTCTTTTTAGCCACGCAAAAGAAAATAGCCACATAAAAGCATTACGAAATGAATGACATCAAAGAGAAAGAACAGTTACCTATTGTCCCTCTAGCCACATAATTACTCTCCTGTGAGTGCGGACAGACGTACGGAAGGACAGACAGACGGACAAGTGCAACGCTATATCCTCCCACTTTGTGGGGGCATAAAAAATGAAAATTTGGACAAGATACGAAAATCAACAATAGATGCAAGCAGGCAACTAGCAAAGACCATTAAAGACTACAAAACTGTGAAAAAAATTAAACTAAAACATAACACTTGTTACATTCATAAGCTTAGAAATTTAGAAAAACAATTAAGAGCGATTAAATTAAGTTTAAAACTTCCGTATGGACAAAAAAAGGAATTTTTGTTAGATCTTTAGCGAAGTCTGTGAGAGCAGGATAATGTGTCTGTCTGGAGTTGCAAAAAGCAAGGTCACAAAGTACAACGACAATGATTTTCTTTCGAAATGTACCCTTGCTTTCTAAAACATTATTCCATGCTTCTCGAATAATCACTCATCGTGTCGTACAAAATCAACAGTGTGTCATGAAACACCATATGGCCATTCTTGATAAATACAACACAAATCATCTACCACATTGAAAACATTTACAACTTAATAAACAAGATAAAGAAAACATAAAAGCAACTATTCTTAAAACTTTAGATGTGAAAACCATTAAGGCTATGACAGAACTTTTCAATACAAATCTATGGGAAAGTTTACATTCTACTGTTTTTAATTATGCCCCTAAATTCACGTGCTGGTCAAGAAATTTTTCAGAGCTCTGTCATTCTACAACACATTCTAGAACTCTTGGCAAAGGTATAGCTGAAGTCAAATTAGCTAATGCCATTAGTATAAACGTTAAGAAGAGTTCAAGAATGTTCTTGCAGCTTATAAGAATGGACACAAAGCGAATGTATCATTCTATGCGCAAAAAGACTACAGAGTATAAGCAGTCTAGATACTTCATGAGAAAACGTGTCCAACATCGGACTGAATTTCTGGACTCACTTTACTCTAAAGTACCCTCAAATCTTTGAAAAGAACACAATTATGGTGTGAACTGCTGAAAATGTCTGCCATTGCACAGAAAGTAATTGACTTAAAACTTCAGTGGCCTTGCATAGTAAACATTATAAACCTTGCAACTTTCTAGTTACCTTACAAAATACATCCCTTGTACCTATGGTGGCCAACACATTCACCAGAATTTTTACAAACCATTCTATTATTATTTACAATGAGTGGCTCATAAGACAAATAATTAAAATTTATGCACATTTTTACATGGCAAATATGAGATACATGTATTGTTGGATTTAACAAGCAATTATCATAGTATTGCAAGCAATCCATAAGTCACCTACCGGTTAGAAACCCATCAACATTCTGATACACCATTGGCCTTTCAATTTTACCAGTGAATGAATGACATGAATGAACTTAAATCTTTTCGAGTTCTAACTTTGTCTATATCACAGTAATGTGTTAAGTTTCCCTGCCTAGTAAGGAAATTATGTTTTTACAACAGATAATCAAATGGTCTAATTTTCTCAGGATGAATAAAATAACAGTTACTAATGTTTCAACTTTCTATTTCTATTCTATTTCTTTCTGTTTCAATTTGTTAGAAAAAATCTTTAAAAGTGATCTCAGAAAACAGTTTTTATGAACAGACACTGACAGACAGACATACATACAGACATACATACATACATACAGACAGACAGACAGACAGACAGACAGACAGACAGACAGACAGACAGACAGACTGAAGGAGACTCTAAAGTTATTTTTACAAACATCCCTGTTACCAAAATATAACATACTTTAATGCAAAATTCTTAAAGAGAAGATAACTCTTGAAATAAAGATGCTAGATTTATGAACATTGTCATATATGATGTGAGTTTTACTTTAAGTTTAAAGATACCATTTATAGTCACAAAGAAGATAAGTAAAAAAATAACAATTTTCAAATATAGCATTTACTATAATGTATAGTAAGTAACAAATATGAAAATTAAAAAAGAAATATAATGTAGGTGTTGATAATGAAAGTTTATTTTGAATTTGAAGAAAATCCATGAAGAAAAAATTAGAAAGTTATAAAGAATGAATATGAAAAATTCAAAGTTTAAGGTTGAGATAATTCTCGAAATATGGTTTCTAGATTTATAAACCTTGTCATATTATTACAATGTGGGATTTTAAAGTAAATCCTACAAGGAATTAAGAAGTTGGAGTAAAAAATACCAATCTAAGTTCAAGGGGGACATAATTCTGGAAATAGTCTTGCTAGAGTATTTAACCTTCTCAAAAATGTTGAGTGATAATAAGAAACATATATATGAAGTTTGAAATAGGTACATTAAGAAATAAAAAAGTTATTTAAAAAAGACAACATTTTTTCATAAAAATTCTAAGTTCAAGGGAGGTAATTCTGATATTTTTTGTGCTAGAGTTGTAAACCTTGTCACATATGATGTGGTTGATGACCAGAAACTTATATTTAAAGTTTGAAGTGAACACCTTAAGAAATCAAGAACTTATGGTGAAAAAGCTTAAAAATTCAAATCAGAAATCTTGAAATTCAGTCTATTTGTTGCCATAGCAACCAGAATTTTCAACAGAGGAAGAAAAGAAAAAGATGTGCATAATCTCCAGACTGCCATTTACCCATATTCTAAGTTTCATAAAAATATTTTCAGCACTTTTTGAGTAATCACTGGATCCAGTTTATGTGTTAAATTTGCCATATTTTCAGACTATTTGTTGCCATAGAAACCAGAATTTTCAACATAGGAAGAAAAGAAAAAGACATGCATAATCTCCATACTGCCATCTATCCATATATCAAGTTTCATAAAAATGTTAGTACTTTTTGCATTATCGCGGGATCCAGTTTTGTCTGGACGGACGGATAGACAGATAGACGGATAGACGGAGGGTAAATCTAAAGTCCCCTCTGGTTAAACCGGTAGGGGCCTATTAAATTTATTGTTTATTATAAGATCATTTTCCATCAGTTATTTCATCAAGTATCATGAAAACAAAAATTACAAGTTTGTAATTTACGGCAAAATTTACAGTGGTTGATGTAATATTTTGAACACAAAAAAAATGATTTCATGAATAAACATTTTGAAATCGAATTGTTGATGGGAATTGTGATTTTTTCTGCATATTTCTGTTGAAATTTTAGCATTTTTACAGGATGAAAGGCCAATATGTGACGGTAGATTTTGGGGAAAAAAACAAACGGAAACATGCAGACATGTACTGTATACAATATTCTGCTTACAAAATAGCCGTCAAATAGATGGATTTTAATTTTCAAAAACATGAGTTTTCATTTTTTTCCTTTAACACTTTATATGTTTTAAGGGGGAATTTTTACCTCTGTTAGGGGGAAAAAACATACTATGCTGCCAATTATCGGCCGCAGATTTGGTTGATCAAGGGCTAACATTTCTTTTTTTAATTCATCTAGTTTTAGATGTACAAATATATTTTTACCATTGAAGGGCGAACGGGAAACAATAAAAGTAACCCCTAGTGTTCATCCTATGAAGTTCGAACACTGTGGGCCATCTATTTGAGGCAGACGTGTTAATTTCGCTCTGTGTTTAAATTGTGATATTCGATTATTAAAGCTTGGATTTTGATAAGAAGTGATATCTGGAATAATGAATATATTGTGCATCTTTCTGTGTTTTTATTTCTTTACAATATCAGTTGTGGAATGGGTAAAATCAAGAGAAAATTTTGGAAATATTCAAAACTTTTATCATAAAAATCAAACAGAAAGTCAAAAATTGGATTATTCCTATTCAA